AGGGGTCACCTTCGCGCCCGACGCCCTCGCGTGATCCCTTGTTTGAGAGATCATCACATTCAGGCAAGACGTCGTTGGTGTAAGGATCGTCAACACTGGGATAATCGACGCTGGAGCAATGTGATGTTTTCAGATGAGTCAAGGTTCACTGTTGATTTTTTGGACAGACGTAGGAGGGTGTGGCGTCGTCGAAACGAGCGCTTCCAAGACGTTAACGTCATCAGACATGATCGATTTGGGGGTGGTTCTGTTATAGTGTGGGGAGGCATCACTGTTGCTGGAAGAACGGCTTTACATGTTGTTGCAGGGCGTGTTACAGGCCAGTACTACCGGGACAACATCTTGGCAGTCCATGTTGTGCCGTTCGCACGACGTCATGGCCGCCGTTTCATCTTCCAGGATGACAACGCAAGATGTCACAGGGCCAGGATCGTTACAGGTTACCTCCAACAACAGAACATCACCACATTACCTTGGCCAGCACTGAGTCCCGACCTCTCCCCCATCGAGCATGTCTGGGACATGCTTGGACAGAGGTTACGTCAACGTCAACAACGTCCTGCCAATGTCCAAGAACTTGCTGCTGCGTTGCAACAGGAATGGGACAATCTGGACCAAAATGACCTTAGACGTCTCATTAGGAGTATGCCACGTCGGATCAATGCTTGTTTGGCAAACAGAGGAGGATTTACCCGTTACTGACTTGGTTGTGATGCTGTGGTAACTTTGCTGTTTGACCCCGGGTATCATTTTACCCTTATAATGGTCAGTCTGTGCCTTACTTAGTCTAACGATCATTTGGAATAAATCGATGAATGTGAACTTCATTTCATTTTGTCATTGGTTTCTTCGTCAGTTTCATTAGGTGACTTTAATAACACTTAAAAATCAAATATCCCCTACTTTTTTTGAATAGTATTTATGTTTATTAGATAACAACAGATTTGTTCAGACAGCAGCAACATGTGAGGTATATGGACACAGATCACGAAATATTCCTACGCCGTCACCCACGAAACAAGGGCGAAAATTATTTTAGTCGGCTTCCCCCTTTTTCCCCCTATTGCATGGCGACTTTTGTTGACTTTTTGGTATAGAATCGAAGAAAAGAGTTTGAAAATACATTTTCTGCCAGGTTTTGGCGAATATTCATAATTTTGTTGCGGAAGGATACAAGAGTTGACAGGTTGGGTAGGTTGAAATGTAGGGCCTAAAATTGCATGTTTATTGGTCTCTACTTCCAACTTGTGTATCTCAAGTTTTTTATGAAGAACCTCATGTGACAAGAGGCCACATGTTGCCCCATCTGTGGTAGAAAGCGTTCTATCTAACGAAAATTTGGGGGAAAGTTAGAGCCGATCTAAAGTAGGAGAATTAACATTGGGGTCAATGGGGAAAACTTTAGTGATCTGTGGCCTGTCTGTGTGTGATAAGGCTGTGACTGATATGCCTTAGTTTTGAAAATATGAAGATTAAATTCACAGAAAATATGAATAAAATATTTTGACTACAGACAAACTAAAAAAAGGTAAAAAAAATTTTAAAAAATCAAAGTTTGGAGAAAAATTGTGATTTTACTGTCTAAAAATGCCCTTATTTTCATTGCTAATATAACTTAGATGGGATCTAGATGATTGTCAGGTTTAGAAATAGCTCCAGCTTTCCTACAGAAAATTGAAAATTGGTACAGAAGATGGGTTTGTACAAAATGTTCTAACCAGGGGTTGGCTCAATTTTGCCACTATTTTACCCAGAACAAGCATTTTTGTTCTTCTTTGAAACATTATATTCTTGCATTTCCTTCATGTATAAAGCAATATTCCAGTCTTTCTAGACATTTTTCACTCCGCCATTCCGTTAAGAGATGCTCTAAATGCCCCACCCCACCCTTTATTATTAATGTGTTTTGAGAGATTTAATTGCACCCTTTGTTGACATTTAAATGATAGTAATTGGAATTTGTGGTTGAATTACAGCTAAGAATGTTATTTTTCACCCCCAAAAAATAGGGGTTTTTTTTTAAACATTTCAAGGAATTCTAACCCTTTTTGTTCAGAGTCACACTTAGAACCCTGAGGCATTTCAGGCCAATGAGACCACACCCTGATATAACACTGGTGTAGATGTGTAAATGTCAGCTTAATGTTCAATATTTTCTTATCGCAATCTAGGTTTGGTTGTGTCTGTTGCATTTATGTTGCTTATAGAACAATAAAATGTTATTTTTTCTCCTTTTCAGGCCTCCTTTATGTTGTCAACTCTGTCATAACTTCATTTTTTTAGGAAATTGATGTAAAGTTCAAGACATCTTGCTTCAGCACAAGGATTGCAATACAAATTTGTATGATGCCTCTGAGATTTGAGATGTTGGAAACATTAAAACATTCCCAAATTTGTGAAAATTGTGTATTCTGTGACCCTTCTGTTAGAGAGGAGTGATCGTAGACTAAATATGGCATTTTTTCTTTCATCAAGGCCTATTTTTAACCATAATTCATATTTATTGCAAATATTTTAGTTTATATGAGCATATGTTAGCCAGGGATGGTAAAACATAGCTGTTAGACTGATTCCTTTGGTAATGTTAGTTCTGCAACCAAAGATTAGGTTAATTCAATCAGTGGCGTGTTCAAGGGGTAGGGATACAGATTTATGTATAGATCTCTAATATTATAATCAATGCAACTAGTTTGCAGTTTTTCTGTTTGCATATTGTCCACAGATTCTAAAAATAGATTTCTTGCCAGTCTGGATATTTAAAAAAGTGGAAAATTATTGCTATTTTGAAAGATGCAACATGTAAATTGTATACATTTTTCATGACATGGCAGTAAAAAGTTATATTTTGGAAAAAAATTCCAAATTATTTGATGTCGGACTTCCGACACAATGATTGCTCTGCAGAAAGACACTTTACACCCCCATAGTGTTTTCTATGTAGTTTGTGTGTAACTTGTCTAATTTTTTCACAGAACTCAGATACTGCCTTTAATAAGAAAGATTTTTAAATTTTAGCACAAAAAGCCCATGGACCACAGATGCACCAGTGTATATAAAGCAAAAGCAGCATGTATACTTAAAGGGCCATCATTTTGGCAGTTATTCTTTGATTTGATTTTCTTTCACCGGCATGTTGCCAGAACACATGGGAAGCAAATAAAAAGGGCCTTTTGGTGATATCTGAAGTTTCACCCCTATATAGGACACAGATCACCAAATATTCCTACGCCGTCACCCACGAAACAAGTGCCAAAGCTATTTTTAGTCTTCTTCCCCCTTTTCCTTTTTTCCCTTTTTGCATGGCGATTTTTGTTGACTTTTTGGTGTAGAATCCAAGAAAAGAGTTTGAAAATACATTTTCTGTCAGGTTTTGGTAAATATTCATACACGAGTTGAGATGTTGGTTAGGTTGAAATGTAAGGCGTAAAATTGCATGTTTACTTGTCTCTACTTCCAGTTTGTGTATCTCAAGTTTTTCATGAAGAACCTCATACGTGCTTTTGGGCAAGAGGTTGCCACATGTTGCTCCATCTGTGGTAGAAAGTATTCTATCTAACGAAAATTTGCGAAAAAGTTAGAGCCGGCCTAAGATACGAGAATTAACATTGGAGTCAATGGGGAAATCTTTAGTGATCTGTGGCCATATATAGGACAAAGACATGTAATTATTTCCCTTTATATGTAGTACGAATTATTAATAGAAAATTTATCCCTTGATTTATTTCTCCCCTCTTCCTGCATTTTTTGGTTGACTTTTTGGTCTAGAATTAGAGAAAGGGGTCAAATTTGCAAGTGTCTTTCTGCAGAGCAATCATTGTGTTGGAAGTGAGATTTTGACCCGAGCCGACATCAAATCCTCTTTGCAAAAATTCTAAACGCTCAACCCCCTATAAAATTATGTGCCTATAAAGATCGGAATCAACGAAATGTTGGGCAAAAAGCTACAGCCTGTGGTGTTACAACCATTTAACATTGAAGTCAATAGGCAAATAATTGCTAGTCTGATGCCATTAAAACTTAAGATGATCTTATCCCAGACAAGAAGATGTGTGGGGTGGGGAATCTGGTGTAATCCAATAGCATGCAATCGGGCTTCGTCAATACCAACAAGGAAGGGTGGTGTGTAATTTCCATAACCATGACACGTACATACATATTTTACGGGAGTAGCAGGCTACCCCGATTTGCTATTTTGTCATTGCAAGAATAGAAATTCGGTATATTTTGCGTTCTGTACTTCCTTCTCATGTGTATTTTCAACAGTGTACATTTGATCTAGGACCTTTTCTTGAACATTCTGATCTCCTTGTTATTCGAGGGAGAGAGAGAGAGAGACATGGAGAGGGAGGGGGGGGTAAAATGTGCAACGTCCACTCAACATAAGCTAGATCGTTTCGGGACTGACATGGTACAATTTTATTTTAACAATTCACCTGCGTGTGGGAACCGGGAATAAACCTAGGTGGTTAGACAGGCGACCCTGCTCCTTGTCGAAACCACGCTACTTGTCTGATTTACAGACCTTATTATCTAAATCTCATGAGTTAGACCATTCCATCTTCCAGGGAGAAATTTGCTTTTACACTTGCCTGTATCATATTCCATTAAAAGATTTCCGGCGTTGTTTCCCCTTTCAGTGGCACAGGACTAGAAACCGGAGATCCAGAAACACATTGGAGTACACGTAATAGAACCTTTGACAGTTTGAATTCGATATAAGTGTAGGCCATGGTGTAGCTGTTTTAGCAAATTTCCCTCACAGCACACTATGGCATATAGCACACATTTCTGCTCAGTAATTACAGAAAAGTAAAACGCTAAACCCAATTTTATTTTTTTATATATCATATGCCAATGGAATAACAGGGAATCCGTTATGTATAAGGTCTGAAGGGCTAAGGGCTGGTCCAATGCATTAAACTTAACGCGAGGGCACATAGCTGTGAATCAAAAGAAAGTTAGAATTTACCCCTAGATGCGATAAAATGTCTAAAGACAAATTTATGCCAAAAATAGTATTTATTATCAATTATTGATCTATTTTAAAAGTACATTACTGGTATAAACTATAGTATTTATTATCAATTATCAAAGGTGAATTACTAGTAAAAATTATAGTATTTATTATCAATTATCAAAGGTTTATTACGAGTAAAAATTATAGTATTTACTATCAATTATCAAAGGTTTATTACGAGTAAAAATTATAGTATTTATTATCAATTTTTAATGGTACATTACTAGTAAAAATTATAATATTTATTATCAATTATTAAAGGTACATTACTAGCAAAGTATATTATAGTATTTATTTATTTATTATCGACCCTGAACGATATATTATTTGATCAAAAAATGTAAGTAAAGTGACTGTAGCACTCTATAAAAAATATTTGTATGAACATATCATTTCCAGTGTTTACAATCGTATACAAAAAAGGGAATGCGCAATTTAATAAAAAAAATATTTTGCGTATATCATAAAAACTAAAAGCTATTTAATATTTAAATAAGCAGTATCAGGTTTATTTAGTGAATACAACTGGTTAATTATATGTGAAAGACTTTTAAAAACGTTTTTTTCTCATCCTATACGTGAGAATTGTTCGATATCAAAGGAAGGTTTAATTTGGAATGAGTACAATTTTCAAAACGAACAGCTTCAGTAGTGTCTTGTTAACTATCACTGTAAGCTTGTCGTATGTAGTTATGGCATGTATTAGGTCACCCAGTGCACATACTTAATAGGCCAAATTTATTCATCTGATTTACGCAACCCGGTAAGCAATATTCGAATCTGAACTGAATTTCCTGACAACGTAAATAGTTCAACTTTTAAATGCACAAGTGTCAACATATACACTGTAAAATTTCGGATTACTCCTTTGACTAAACAAATAAACGCAGATACATAATTAAGCAAACAAATAACATAATTAAGCAAGAAAGAAAAGTAAGACACTATAACAGTTTTTTTCGTAAAAATCCGGGTCTCATCAAACTTCATCGTGATGTTTACTCTGAAAAATAAAGATAAACAGTATCAAATTAACGATGCATTATGCAAGAGCGAGACCTGTCGGTGTCTGTTTTCGAACATGGCTGTCCAATAAGGTTTTGGGAGAAAGGTTAAGTATCACGTACGTCATGGCTGCACTATATCAATTCTAAAGTTCTGGGGTCGTTAAATTCAATTATGACTTAGGAAATGAATGTTTAAAATTCAAGATGGCAGAAATTGAAAATGACGGCTACAAATTACACACAATTGCCGATTTGTCATTTTTCTTTTTGGAGTGACATGTAATTCTGCTTACATAGATAACAAAGGGTTTCAGAGCAGCTATATATATAGACGTTTAATGTGTACCTTTACGTCGACGATTCTAGTCCAGGCCACCAAGGCGTAACATACTAACGCATTTTAGTAATAAAATTACACTCTTGGGAAAGAGACAACATCACTAGCCTAATTAACCCACATTTCGCTCTCATTAGTATGCCACATTACAAAAATAGTGACCTTAAGAAAATTGATTCAGATTATCCAATGGACAGGTTTGCAAGGATGGCATATCCAGCATTTAAAGCAAAATACATTCGCTATAGATGTGTGTATGTTATCAATTTATACAAATTCGACTGTTCTGCCAATTCGTATTTCGCACCTTCTAGTGAGTGCTCCGAGTTAGTATTTAAAGAAATAATACGTAAATAGCCTTACCCAGACAATAACCAGACGATTCTAATGGTGAATTAACCAGGTAGTAAACAAAGAAATTGTTTCCACAATACTGAACTTTTACATCAATAGTATATTTACATAATACACTGTATCGTCTAACACAAGCTTGTATGTTCTGTATTCCACTCACAGTTGTGACAGGAGCAGCTAAAACATAACATTTTATGCTCTTAGTGTTTAAATATGAATACGCCTGTCCAACCTCGTAGGTTTTCTCCGGGTCCCCCGGGTTCTTCCCACTGCTAAAGACCTCTACGCGCAAGCAAATTATTGAAATAAAATTGAACCATGTGTTAGTCCTGAAATGAACTAGTTTGTGTTGAGTGGACGTTAAACCCCATTTCTCTCTCTCTTTTTAAATATGAATACATATATTTCGATATAAACGATACAATCACTTCTCCATATTAATAGTGATATGCTTGAACTCCCCAAATATGATGTCTTTACTACGTTACTGATCATTTTATACTTAAAAGGGGCAATAATGTGGATCTGAATTTCAGAATCTGAATATACTGTGTAGCAGACAATCTGGTTAAAACACAGATCCTATTTCGTTTCATTTTTATAGTTTAAAATTTCGTTTTACTCGTTTTTATAGTTCAAAATTTCGTTTTACTGTCTTTACTACACTTGGATCTGGAAGAGTTGTTATTTAACTCGTGTTCTGAATGGTGTCAGGGATAAGTCAATGAAACGATCTGTTACGGCGGGCTTTAGGCGTGTTTTGCACGGAACTGTGGGTAATCCACTAGTAACATCAATGCACATTGGTTAATCAAATGTCTGACGTCACAGGGCCATAAGCCGGTCTTTTGACCCCTGACACGACCTATGGCTATAACTTGTCAGATCTTCATGTAGTGTAGGCCATCGAAAGTATAAAAAAACGAAACGAAATATAGATCTGTATTTTAATCAGATTGTGTAGCAGAAAATATTGAGTCCAAAAATCTAGTAGAGTAAGAAATAATTTGTTGTGAGCACTGTGCTGTATCACGTGACCAGAATAAACATAATTATATTTTAATATACATAACGCGCCTTCAGAATGACATTGCAGTGATGCAAAAACGTTTATGAATATAATTTGTTTCAACCAAAGGCTCGATGCGTCATTTGCATTTCACACTATTGTAGTAGAGCGCTAAATAACGCATCGAGCCTGTAACAAAGATGAACATTCAGGGAAGATACTCCGGAAATCATAACTTAACAAAAAGTGGACGGAATCGTAGCATTAGCCGATTCATTCATTAACAAATCTATGTAAGTAGAATTAAACAGGCATACTTACTTTGTAGATAAATAGGAAATAATGTACCACAGTAATATTGTAATGGAGCTGTAACACTTGGTATAGCTCTTCCTGGTTTTCCATACCATCCGTCTGATAGATACCTATCATTAATCCTCACAGCTCCGGCAGATAACAGATTGTTAGTTAATCTTAATGCAGGGTACGTAAACGACGTATAGTTACCACAGGCACCGTTAAGAGCTGGAAGATAGTGTAAAACAAAATCGTAAAAATTGCAATTATTGTATTCAAATACCATAAATGTGTGTTTCAAAACTATTCTTTAACGGATGATTGTGCAAATTCGTCTACAGTAGCGAGGATGAGAGCGATTTATGAATAAAAGATTAATATAAAATCAAGATATTTTAATAAAACTCTCTTCTCAACCCACCAACGCTGTCATATTGGAATTCATAGCAAAGTGGCTCGGTTAAAATTGTAAGCTGTTTTCTTAAAGCTATCAAGTTAGAACCCCCTCGTGGTGAACTATTATTATTATTAAAATGCTACATCAATATTATTATAATGAACTCTATTGTAATCTAACATCAATATCATTATAATGAACTATATTGTAATCTAACATCAATAATATTATTATTATTATTACAAAAAGCTAAAATAATTACAGGTATCATTTAGTTCCCATCTTCCGCCATTTTCATCAACTTTACAGATATATTGATCATTATAAACATAACTTTCATCATGATTGTAACATCGATCATTGACCAAACAGTGATTTTTCTGAAAATGTAGAGAATATCTCCTTATATGTATACCCCTTATGGTACCTCTTTGACAGGTTATCTCTGTCACACGATCACCTGATATATGTTTGGTGATGTGACCTGTTACTATGGTAAAGCGGGATTCCCCCGCGCTCTTTGGGGGGGGGGGGGTTGTAGCCCGGATTTGGTATGGAATGAAATGTTGTATGTCCAATTGCTGTGGTCTACTTTATAATAAGATGAGATCCCGAACCCGCGGGCGTGTGTTTAGACACCAACACACGCAACACATGGTGGAGATGTCTCGGTTCGTATCCCTAAGACTTAGTCATCAGAATTCACATTGCCGAAGGAATTACCAGCCCATAAACTATTGCTACACTTTCCGGTTCCCGTGGGTTCAGTTTCTATTTGGATAAAGATTTACGACCTACCATATATGAGAGTGATAATGCAAATGAACTATACATTTTCGAAAATATTGGTTAAACATAAGTGAAACCACTACCGGGTGGATGGCATAGTTTGATTAGTCCGTATATAATGCGTATTACCATTGCTTTAGGGATAATTTGAGGATAAGGGGCACTTGGGTGGTATGAATGTTCTAAGGTCGCTTTAAAGCAAATATATACGAAAAAGGGGAAAAAAAGGTGTAAGCCACAGAAATGCCATAAAAGAAAAATGATTGAAGGAGGTCTAGAGACAGTACGCATATCCTACCATATTACTATATATCATCGGTTATTTATACAAAAAAAACTTACGGATATTTGACAAGTGATTATATTATTAGTATTATTACAAGTCACACAATCTGAGTTGTAGTAGATCATTATTAGTTGATTACTGTAGTGTTGTCCATCATTAGCTACAGATAGCTTATAACCAGAGAAGGTTTGTTGTTGGACGGGTATAGGATTTCGTGTATTAGACACATCCAGTGGACAGATTGCTTCACCTATACTGTCTATTGTTGCATCTAATATAGTTGGAGAGGAATCCATATTCGTCACAGCACCAGATTCTGACACCTTAACAGATAATATAATTACATAAATTGCTATATATACTGTCTAAAATCTACATGTTATACTTTTATCCATACTCCCCGCAGTGATTCGGAGGGTCACGGTGGGTAAGTGGGTAAGACGATGGTTCGCTAGCCTGGAGGTCGGTTCTTCGATCCTTGCATTGGCCGAGAAAGTTCCATCCAGATTTTCCGGCGTGGTTCCCCCTTGTCAGCGATGCAGAACGGAGGGCCTGGCAAGGACAGCTGTCTAGTCTTTCGGATGGGACAAAAAACCGAGGTCCCGTGTACACATTGGCGCGCACGTAAAAGATCAATTGACAGTTGGAATTCGATATAAGAGTAGGCCGTAGTGCCGCTGTCCGGGCAAAATTTCCCTCATAGCACACTGTATGGCGTATGCCCGTCTTCATTAGCCCACTTCGGGGCAGAACAGTAGGAGGTTAAACCCCATTTTATTTCATTGCATTTCATATGCCTGGTTAATGTGGGTTAACTTCTCATTTGTATGTTTTAATTAATCATGGCACGTCTTGTATAAATGATGTTTTGTTATCCAGCCGGTGTAATTGTGGTTATTTTATTTCTATTTAATTTTTTGGCGAATGTTATTGGTGAAAGTCAACCGAAAGATTTATATCGGTTTCCCATAACATACCCTGATGCTATAACGCTGACATTTCGAGCCAGGGTTTTCTACAAATGTTGTACCAAAAACAGCAATATCATCACAAGTTTGGTTTTTCACATCACACAGTCCTTCATATTCTAATTCCGTTAGAACTGGACGATCCGCTGCATTAGTAGAACAATCAACAGCAATATATCCAGTATCACAAATACATGTTCCTACAATATAGATATAGAGATGGTTTAAAATCGCTCAGGTATACCGTCTTGCACACATGTCAGATACGGGTTTACCCATATTCTACTGATATAAGAAATGGGGAGAGAAAAATGGGGTTTAACGTCCACTCGGCACAAACTAGGTCATTTCGGGACTAACATATGGTGTAATTTTATTTCAATAATTCGCTTGCGCGTAGGGGTCTTTAGCAGTGGGAGGAAACCGGAGGATCCGGAGAAAACCCACGAGGTTGGACAGGCGACCCTACTCCTTGTCACGTACAACCGGGGATTCGAAACCACGCCAGTCGACTCAATGACAGACTGTATGATACAGCGCGCGCACGCTAACCATTCAGCCATCCAACCCCCCAACAAATGGGGAGATTGGGAGTTTATAATATAGCGGGGTCTATTTATTTTTTCATTATTATTGCATGTGTTCATACCAGAGTTCAGTGTCACAGATGCCCTTGTCGATATTATTGGTAATAAAGCGTTATATCGTTACGATGACTCACCATTATCACATGTGCCATGTTGTGAACAGTTATTCACACAGTCTATTTCAACAACTCGTTTGTAAATTGACGGTTTGTCGGGTTCTTCTTCTTGTAATTTAGGATCTAAGTCCACTTCGTATCGACACTGACTCCGGACACTACCAACCGCTGACATAGAAAATTCAGTAGCGCCAGTAAGCTGTAGAAAAAAATATATATGTATCAACATTTGCTTAAAAAATTGGTTGAACTGCCTGCAACATTAGAAGTTATCGAATATAAACAGTATATTGTATCTTAAACTCATGTAGTTCTAAGAGGGTGTGTAATGAGCAACTCCCCAACAAAGACACGCACGCTTAACAAAATGAAATGAAATGGGGTTTAACGTCCTATTTTTCTGCTCCGAACTGGGCTAATAACGACGGGCATACGTCATACAATGTGCTATGACGGAAATTTTGACCAGACAGCGGCACTACGGCCTACTGTAACATCGAATTCCACCTGTCAAGTGATCTTTTACGTGCACGCCAATGTGTACAATGGTTTTTCGTCTCATCCGACCGACTAGACAGCTGTCAGGCCCTCCGTCCTGCATCACTGAACAGGGGAGACGCTTCGGAAAATCTGGATGAACTTTCTCGGCCAATGCAAGGCTCGAACACCCGACCCCCAGGTTAGCGAGTCAGTGTCTTACCCGCTTAGCCACCGCGACCCCACACGCTTACCAAAAACTACCATTGCCATTGAGAGCACGAAAAACCAGAGCTATAAATACACAAATAAAAAAAATCTAACAAAAATCACATTTTTGATATTTTGTTCATACAACTTACTTTTATATCTTCCTTGCATGTTTCAAGAGCTATTGGAAGTTCATTCTGAAGAGATTCTATTTCACTACTACATAGTTTAAACAGACCATCACTGTCAAACAAACTGTTACAATAGTCTGTTGCGTTCTCGTCAGACCAGGTGTTGTTCAACGTTGCTTGCTAAAATATAAAAAATCAGAATTAAGCTGTATATTATATACTTTGGACAAAATTCTCCCAAATGAGAGGATTCACAAGCAAAAACAAAAGATAGTCATTCAGTCAATGAACAAGTCACAGCATACGAGTATATGGAAATCATCTCAGAAGATGATAAAACAAATTTTGATGAACTGACACTCTGCATTGCCCACTCGACAGTCTCGTTTTGCCATAACGCGTTAGGTTTAGTAGACTAAAACACGTTCTCTGTATTAATGTCTACGCTTGGGCGTGCAGTCGTAAAGCGATATCACCTTCGATGGAAGCGGACGTTAAACACTGAGAACTGAGTATTGTCGTTACTTTCGCCTGCCACAAACCCACCTACAAATACTGCAAGTAAAAAACTCGAATGGTAAATGTTTTAAGTCCGTGTGCTTCTAACAATACCTAATAGTAATGCAGAATCATGATTCGTGTCATATAATGTGCAATATTATCAATGATCCAAGAAATTAAATGCCAAATAAGAGAGTATTTCTAATTTTAAGGTTTAACAAAAAATGCAATATGTGTTTTAATGATATTTAAAATACAGATGTGACGTCATCCTTTGAAAGCTTAGAAAACCCGGTATATTGTAGGGGTTTATATAGGCCTTGCCTGTTCCCCACCCCACCCCCCCCCCCCCCAGTTTCTGAATAAATATTGTTCATATAAAAAAAAATATTGTAGAAAGGGAAATCAAAATTATGTACATCTATATACGGATGTGTGTGCACAGAGTATAGTAAAGATATTTATATATACTATTCAAAAAAAGTAGGGGATATTTGATTTTTAAGTGTTATTAAAGTCACCTAATGAAACTGACGAAGAAACAAATGACAAAATGAAATGAAGTTCACATTCATCGATTTATTCCAAATGATCGTTAGACTAAGTAAGGCACAGACTGACCATTATAAGGGTAAAATGATACCCGGGGTCAAACAGCAAAGTTACCACAGCATCACAACCAAGTCAGTAACGGGTAAATCCTCCTCTGTTTGCCAAACAAGCATTGATCCGACGTGGCATACTCCTAATGAGACGTCTAAGGTCATTTTGGTCCAGATTGTCCCATTCCTGTTGCAACGCAGCAGCAAGTTCTTGGACATTGGCAGGACGTTGTTGACGTTGACGTAACCTCTGTCCAAGCATGTCCCAGACATGCTCGATGGGGGAGAGGTGGGGACTCAGTGCTGGCCAAGGTAATGTGGTGATGTTCTGTTGTTGGAGGTAACCTGTAACGATCCTGGCCCTGTGACATCTTGCGTTGTCATCCTGGAAGATGAAACGGCGGCCATGACGTCGTGCGAACGGCACAACATGGACTGCCAAGATGTTGTCCCGGTAGTACTGGCCTGTAACACGCCCTGCAACAACATGTAAAGCCGTTCTTCCAGCAACAGTGATGCCTCCCCACACCATAACAGAACCACCCCCAAATCGATCATGTCTGATGACGTTAACGTCTTGGAAGCGCTCGTTTCGACGACGCCACACCCTCCTACGTCTGTCCAAAAAATCAACAGTGAACCTTGACTCATCTGAAAACATCACATTGCTCCAGCGTCGATTATCCCAGTGTTGACGATCCCTACACCAACGACGTCTTGCCTGAATGTGATGATCTCTCAAACAAGGGATCACGCGAGGACGTCGGGCGCGAAGGTGACGCCTATGCAGTCGATTCCGAATCGTCTGGCCACTCACTCTCACACCAGTGTCTGTTTGAAGACGAGCGCTGATCTGATTTGCTGTGATGACACGATTTCTCAAGGCCAAGGTACGGATAAATCGATCCTGGGCTTGAGTTGTCGCCCTTGGTCGACCTGAGCGTGGTCTGTCCTGTACAGATTGTGTATCACGGTATCTGGACCACAGCCTGCTTATGACAGACTGAGAAACATTCATCGTCCGCGCCACAACCGCCTGTGTTGTGCCGATCTGTAGCATGCCAAGGGCACGTAACCTTTCATTTTGGGTAAGCCGACGCATATCAAAATTTGTTTTCTGGTCACTAAAACAATTAACTGATGTTTCCACCCTGGAATTCAATGCCACAATGACTGTAACATTCAAAGTCAGAGTCGTGCAAATCTTGGGTTGGACCCCCATGATGATCCCAAGCATCACCTGCATTCCATGCGGTAGCTATTGGTGCGTTTGGGCGTCACATGTAACTGGAAATGTTTCTTCTGTTAGGTTCTATAGTGACTTTTTTCGTAGTCATTTGCATATTTTAGTATTATGCCCCCAAAATCAAATATCCCCTACTTTTTTTGAATAGTATATATATTGAATAGTTCCTGGGGGTTGCTTTGAAAACAAATTCGGAATGGGCGGACGGATGGGGCTCATTTGAATGGCACGCCTCTTGACTCCGTGCGGCGCGGGACAACAACATGTATTGTACCAACAAGAGGGCCGTAGGTCCGAGTGTTTGTAGAATATATTACGCAAAGTCTTAAGCTCGAGACCATTAAACTACTTAAAATACAGACATTCGGCACGTGCTTTTACAGTGAAATTTGTCACGCGAGTCCAATATTTCACTAGAATAAATAATGCACGATTGGCAAGTTGCCCGTATGATTATTTGAAATAATCGTACGCCAACATCAAAGGGTGACGTCGCATCTTTATTTTAAAGACATATAATAGAATAAAGTTATACCTACCCGTTTGAGTCTTTTGATTCGGCCAGTTTCTGGTAAATATGATGGCACTGATCGTCTTTTACGGGAAAATGTATGGGTGGCGCATGATCTTTTACTGACTGCCTTATATCTATCATCTCTGGCACAAGATTTGATGTTACTTTTCGGATTACATTCGATCGTATGGTACGGTTCTGGTTGGCCTGCAGGAGGGTTACACTCACATATAATTGGAGTTTTGATTGTAGGTACAAAATTCTCACGAACAGTAGGGTTAAATAAACTCTCATCTGGTGCAACCCTGTGGATATAGCAAATGACAATTCACTATAAATATGAGGGGTTTTATTATCCAACAAATGTGACGTTTTATATTTTTCAAAGGTTTTTGCAGAAATGTTTTGTCAAATATTTCTTAAATATACTCATGTCATCAGACGAATTGTCGAAAATAGTACATTTTGATACTAGTATTAAGTTTGATATTATCATTAATATGCATATTGATAATTTTAATAATAGTATTCAGATTCATTTTAATAATTTTATTCATTTTGATAATGGTGTTCATTTTTTGTAACACTGTTCATTTTTGATTATAGTATTTATTTTGATTATAGTATTCGTTTTGATTAGAGTATTCATTTTAATTTCAGTATTCATTTTGATAAAAGTATTCATTTTGATAAAAATATTCATTTTGATAAAAATATTCATTTTGATAAAAATATTCATTTTGATAAAAGAAAAGTATTCATATTCATTTTGATAAAAGAAAAGTATTCATATTCATTTTGATAAACGTATTCATTTTGATTCATTATAGTATTCATTTTGGTAATAATATTCATTTTGATAATAGTATTCATTTTGATAATAGTACTCATTTTGATAATAGTATTCATTTTGATAATAGTACTCATGTTGATCATCTTAATATTAGCATTCAAATTCATTTTGATTTTGATATTTTCATAACTGGTATACATGTATATATTTAAAGAAATGCTTTTTGTGTCTGTAAAGCCAATTTCTTAAATGAGAGTAGGTATAAATTTAACTTTCATGTATGTATTATTACGGGTCCATTTTTCAGAATGTATTTTTGATTACTTACTGTTCATTTACTATCCATGTTGAGGCCTAAGTAAATTCTTAATTATTTTCTGTCAACGTCTTTTTCCGTCGTTTAAATGCAGAGTCTTTTGTATGTTTAAATCCCACGATGTTCCCAAAACCGACTAACCGCTCCCTCAGTCAAGCCAGCACACAATAAGCTGACAGACATCAGTTGGGTTGCCAATTAGTGATACCCTGATATTTTTGCCCAGTGCTTGTCCCATGGGTGTTTGTCGGGTAATCCAGTATACTTTCCATATAATAATATACCAAATTTGCCATACTTTTATTGGAAATAACCACCCGATAAATACTTTCGTGACAATGTATCTTTAATGCAATGTGTATGAATTAGAAGTTTAAAAATACACGTACCTCCATGAACTGGTGAACAGTTCGGCCTCCTGGTAAAACAGCTCGATGTAGTCTATGTTGTCTGTAGTAACCACACCATTTCTTAGAACAAGTTGTTGTGTTTTGTCATTAGATATTTTACCGCACAATCCTAGCACTTTATTCGCATCCGAAAATGATGGGTTAACATGCACATCCACATACCGGGGGGGATTACCTCCATGTAAATGAGCTGTCACTGTGGCACCAGTGGGAAATGTTATCTATAAAAGGTATTGACCAGTTAGTTCAATCATAAGACATGTGCGTAAAGATTGAAGATTGAATATAAATGTAGTGAGAGAGAGAGAGAGAGAGAGAGAGAGAGAGACATGGAGAGGGAGGGGGAGAGGGGTAACGTCCACTCGACACAAACTAAGTCATTTCGGGACTAACACATGGTTTAATTTTATTTCAATATTTCGCTTGCGCGTAGGGGTCTTTAGCAGTGGGAGGAATCCGGAGGACCCGGAGAAAACCCACGAGGTTGACTTTCTCTATCACGTGACGCAATGTAGCGTACATTTATGATCTACGAACACACCTTGCTTATGCCCCGTCAGACCAGGTTGGCTTTCATACTGCGCTGCTACGACCGTACAGCGACCAGAAAATGCACAAGGTCGCCAGCAAACGTGACCACAACGAGAGAAGAATTACAAACTTGAAAAAGTCGCGTTCTTACAGCTTTCCAGGTCAGATCGCAGAACCTTGGCGTTTGTTTTGAACATGTTCAACACAAACTCCGTGACTCGGCGATCGTGGGCGACCATGGAGACCACATCACGATATCTAGCGTTTCCATCACGCTTTTACCACGCTTATGGCGATCTTGACGTGCTCTACGACCATTTTCTCTCGCCGTAGCGCCACAGTAAGGACGCCACCCCGGTAATTGCGCTTGTAATTGCGATATGTTAGAATTTAGATAGTACTTCCCAAGATGTAATGTTTTAGCAACACAGTATTCACAGACGCTTGAATATATTGGCTAATAAATCATTGCGTCTTCAGCACCTCTGCTGTCGACGAAGTACATCGTTTATCACCATTAGATCAAGTTCAGATATTTTAATTTTAAAAAACATTAACTGTTGCGAGGTGGAATATGCCGAGGAGAATTTCAGATTTTAGTTTGTGTTACCTTGTAGTCTCCATTTCTCTCTACTTGAAGAACACCAACGCCACCATCACACATTACGTATTCTATGATCCAGTTTTGTGAGTAACATTTACTGATCATATAAGCTGTTCCACCAACTCTTGCTATCACACCACAGTTACAATATGCATCACCACCACAGCTAACAGTTTGTATTTGTACCTGCAGTTAATACATTCATTTCAGTTAGTATTTCATATATTTTAGATTTTGTCCAATCGGTCTGATCAAATCTATCATTTACTAAGCCTGCTGAGTTCACACTGATAAATGGCCCACAAATAAATGCCACAAATATTTGTCCACAGCTTGCATAAAGGTGTGTGCGAGTGTTGTGTGTGTTTTGGTGGTGGGGAGGGATTGCGGGGTATGCGTGATGGAGGGATTTGTCTGTATCCGTATGTGGAAGGGGGGGGGGACATGATAGGAGGAACACAAAGGCATTTTACACCGACACTATATTATACATAATATAACTAACCTCTATATCGTTTGCGTCATCTTTATAGAGTGTATATGTTCCCAGATATTGTAAGTCGAGCAAACTGTAAAATGAAGAGAACATGCACATATCTACTTATTGATCATTTTTAAATGTATTCCAAGTATATAATTTAAACACATTTAACAAACACACAGTTAGGCTGATTCTTCAATCGCAAATAGATAGATGGCACATATGATTAGTTGCAAAGTAATCTTATTGTAAAGCCTCGTAGCGGGTTATGTTAGCCATTGCACTATGCCAAAAAGAATGACATTATTAATATCTATAACAAGTTTGAATATTTCTCCTCATTGAAAAGTAAAGTTATTGTGTTCCAATTTATTGGTCAATCAAAAGTAGAATATTCGAACCATCAAACTTAGTTCCGGTATAGATGTAATCGTTTACCTCTGCTTTATAGCCTTATGGAGAATGATCATCATCGAACCCAGCCAAGACATTCGCCTAATAAACCCAAACATCAGGTATGAACATTCTACCTTAACTAGAAGCAGAGCGAGCTATTCGGTACCAAAACTGCGACCAACAGCTGAACAGACAGACACAGCCGTGCCGCGCGGACAGACGGACATCTGGTATGATTTTGTTTGCTTCTAAAATTTGATTACGACGAAATTAATTTCAAACAAACTGCGCCCAATTAAACCAAATCAATTATCTCAAGTAAACTAGACGGTGTTTATTAAATATCCTTGTGGTAAAATGTGCTGATGACAAAGGGTAAATTGGATTTTAGATTTATAAAATTGATTTTGTTTTGTATACGCACAGTCCTTTAAATGTTTGGAGTCTGGGATCAATGTAGGCTTTGCATGAACAAAGGGTAAATCGAATTTTGAATTTATAAAATTGATTTTGTTTTGTATACATACAGTCCTTTAAATGTTTGAAGTCTGGGATCACTGTAGGCTTTGCATAGTAATGACTGTGTAGGCAAAGTATCTTTTACTACAATAACCTGTATAAACATATATAAATAACAAATAATTATTATTATGCAACTGATACTAATACGTCAACGAAATACTGAATAAAAATTAATGACTATGTTACATTTTGATGTCACAGATTAATTAAAATTATTTTAAACTGACTATGGCATCTTTAAGGGAATAGTATACCAGAATTTTAAATTTCAGCCCATGATAGTTTAAACAAATTTTCCATTCAATTACATTGTCATGAAACTAATTTAGCCAAACAATAAACAAAGCATTACAACGGGTCCATTTAAATGTAAGAACATATTTACATACTTGTACACGGGGATGTATTGTGTAGCTACCCCAAGTTTTATGGTATCCATAATCTATCTGAGATGACCTTAATATTACTTCAAACTGTGTTAAGGATCGACCATATTGCTTTATTGTGTCGGTAGCTACATTGATGATATATTCGTTATCCCATCCATGTTTCAGGACGTCTACACCACATTTATCAGTGATTGATAGACTGGCACCACATGTAGAATCAGAATAATCTGGTGTAGATACTGTTACACCATAATTACATGTTAAATTGGGTTGATTTTCTAATGGCGGGCATCCTATCTCTGCAGTTGATCTTATTCTTATTTGACCAGTTTCGCCTTCCCGTATTCTAATTACAGGATTTAAGACCTACAGTTGAAAAAGAAACGTGAGAATAAATGGTACTTAATCCTGAAAATTATCACATTACATGTAAGAAGTGCTATATTTGGATTTCATTTTTAGTATCTATGCTAACGAAGCATTTGGTAATAATGAACATGCATATGGGTCTAAAGATAAAAATAACTGACATGTAAATCTTTAAGTTACTTTAGGTGATATTGGAAACTACTCAACTTCTGGATTTTTGTAACCAGAGTAACAAAGCATTTTATACTTTTCCGGAATAACAATAATCAGTTTTTATATATCTTGAAAATCAAATAAAGACGTTGAGTGGACTCCATGTGTGCTATATGAAAAATGGTTACCTATATGAGTGAACATTCAAACCAATATATGTTTGAATAAAACTGAGGTTCGAATTCGAATCTGTTAAAACATTAAAATCCTGTGTCCAGTAAACTTCAGGCGCTTTGACCATAATTAGCACTTTATAATATATAATTAACATACCTTTATTCCAATGAATTTCGATTCACTCTTAGAAACAGTCTGGTGTGATGTTTCATTTCTACTAGCAAATATCTCGCATCGTATCTACAAGAAAAAAAAACAGCGGTTTATTTTACTTTGATCAATAAGTTAGACCTGCAATAAGCAGATTTAGCTCTTGCATAATGTATGTTTAAAATCATTATTTACGTATCATTGTTATTTGTAAGACTATATTACCAGCCCCTTAAGATATTGGGGGTTGGTAACGGTACCAATGTGTGAATTGCTAGGGATTTCTATTAATGCGAAAAGCAATTGACCTGGCCCCGATTTCACAAAACATTCTCAGACTTAACTTAAGAATTTACTCAAAACTGTTTGCCTTATTATAACTAAAATATAGACCTTTATAAAACTTTTGTTGTTTTAATGTATTAAACATTTTTTGTGTTTTTGGACCAAACATATTTCTCATAAACAGTGACTGAAAGATGAGTAAATTCTTAACTTTAGTCCGAAAATGCTTTGTGAAATCGGGGCCCGTATAATTAACACCTATATTTCTATGTCGTGCTAATTTAAAGGAAATCCATTTCAAACGTTTCGATTCGTTTCGGAGTCTCACACCATACATTTTAAACTGCTTCGATATTTGCTATACATGTAAAAGTTAGAGGAAATAAAATCACTTACATTTTTAAAACCCAATCAAAGCGGTAGTTTTATAATGTTCATTTCAATCGCCGGTTCAGTTTATGAGAAAATAAATCTATAAGCCTGATCGCTTTATATATACTATTCAAAAAAAGTAGGGGATATTTGATTTTGGGGGCATAATACTAAAATATGCAAATGACTACGAAAAAAGTCACTATAGAACCTAACAGAAGAAACATTTCCAGTTACATGTGACGCCCAAACGCACCAATAGCTACCGCATGGAATGCAGGTGATGCTTGGGATCATCATGGGGGTCCAACCCAAGATTTGCACGACTCTGACTTTGAATGTTACAGTCATTGTGGCATTGAATTCCAGGGTGGAAACATCAGTTTAATTGTTTTATTGACCAGAAAACAAATTTTGATATGCGTCGGCTTACCCAAAATGAAAGGTTACGTGCCCTTGGCATGCTACAGATCGGCACAACACAGGCGGTTGTGGCGCGGACGATGAATGTTTCTCAATCTGTCATAAGCAGGCTATGGTCCAGATACCGTGATAAACAATCTGTACAGGACAGACCACGCTCAGGTCGACCAAGGGCGACAACTCAAGCCCAGGATCGATTTATCCGTACCTTGGCCTTGAGAAATCGTGTCATCACAGCAAATCAGATCAGCGCTCGTCTTCAAACAGACACTGGTGTGAGAGTGAGTGGCCAGACGATTCGGAATCGACTGCATAGGGGTCACCTTCGCGCCCGACGTCCTCGCGTGATCCCTTGTTTGAGAGATCATCACATTCAGATGAGTCAAGGTTCACTGTTGATTTTTTGGACAGACGTAGGAGGGTGTGGCGTCGTCGAAACGAGCGCTTCCAAGACGTTAACGTCATCAGACATGATCGATTTGGGGGTGGTTCTGTTATGGTGTGGGGAGGCATCACTGTTGCTGGAAGAACGGCTTTACATGTTGTTGCAGGGCGTGTTACAGGCCAGTACTACCGGGACAACATTTTGGCAGTCCATGTTGTGCCGTTCGCACGACGTCATGGCCGACGTTTCATCTTCCAGGATGACAACGCAAGATGTCACAGGGCCAGGATCGTTACAGGTTACCTCCAACAACAGAACATCACCACATTACCTTGGCCAGCACTGAGTCCCGACCTCTCCCCCATCGAGCATGTCTGGGACATGCTTGGACAGAGGTTACGTCAACGTCAACAACGTCCTGCCAATGTCCAAGAACTTGCTGCTGCGTTGCAACAGGAATGGGACAATCTGGACCAAAATGACCTTAGACGTCTCATTAGGAGTATGCCACGTCGGATCAATGCTTGTTTGGCAAACAGAGGAGGATTTACCCGTTACTGACTTGGTTGTGATGCTGTGGTAACTTTGCTGTTTGACCCCGGGTATCATTTTACCCTTATAATGGTCAGTCTGTGCCTTACTTAGTCTAACGATCATTTGGAATAAATCGATGAATGTGAACTTCATTTCATTTTGTCATTTGTTTCTTCGTCAGTTTCATTAGGTGACTTTAATAACACTTAAAAATCAAATATCCCCTACTTTTTTTGAATAGTATATTACTTAAACATACATTATGCAAGAGTTAAATCTGCCTATTGCAGTTCTTTCTTTAGGGCTGAAATGTTATTTAAATTATTAATTAGACATTAATCAACTCTCAATGTCATCGCTAGCTTGTGATATTTTGCAGATTGGAATACATTTGGCGAAGGATAATTAAACGTAAAACCGGATAACCAAAACTTTGTTTTTTATCGTGCCGCCTTAAGTAATGATGATCGAGGCTAGAATAAAATTCAAAAGCTAATATCTCGCTTCAGAGTGGAACAATATGATTAAAATGTTCATCATATTCTATTTACATTATCTATTTTTTAACTATTATAGCGAGAACTGGCAACTTTTTATCTAATCCCCCATAATTCCCCTTTAACGTGAAATTGTAAACAAACATCAAGGACAAATTAAATTAAATCTATATACACAAATTAAATTAAATCTATATACACATATATCTATGATGGAACTTACATCGTAACCAACTGTTCTGTTCATCTGGTCTTCCGTTAAACTCAGTCCGTTTTTAAAGCTTTCTAGATCTAATGAACCTTGGATTACAGTACTAGTATATACCAGAATATCATCCACGTACCACGCCGCCAAATAAAAAACAGTCTCATCTACACCATCAAAATCACAGAAGAACCGGTACATCATTCTTGGACCGTTCTCATCTTTCCGAAATTCAGTGGTAATATTAACAATAGGAAGGACATCTAAACTAGACTCAGCTAAAAAAAATAAACAAAGGATGACTATACAGGCGCGGATCCGTGGGGGGCGCCTTATTTTTTGCGTGGCGAGCAATTTTTTATCCCATATATTCTCACGGGAAAGGAATTAACAGTCAGTTTAGGTTGGAAATCGTAATTTACTCCGAAACGAGTCGGTTGGTGACTTGGTTGATTGCCCGTCAGTCCGCCCACCGAGGGCCGGCCATCATAGGCGTACGAGCCAGGGGGGGGGGCAGGGGGACAGCTACTTTGTGCGACATTTTTCGGGCATCGATTATTATTTGTGAATGCAGCTGCAACAGTCTGATTGAATGGTTGGAATTCAAAATGGGATTTAGGTTACAAAACCATTGGATACTGTTGGAGTTGCTTACACGGGCTAGAATAGCAGAAAACGCATATGCGGTGGTTAAATTTTCAAAATTTTCTCCGGGAGGGTGAGGCCTCCATACTCCCCGACGATTGATTGGTTGTTTGGAATTCGGGTCAGCCAGGTGGGCTATATTGGACCAAATTGAAGTTGCTGTATTCACAGGCTGGAATAGCAGGAAAACGCGTTTGCGGCAGTTAAATTTTCAAAATTTTCTGCTAACGCTCCCGTCTTCGTGGACTGTAAACGATTGATCTTTTGATTGGAATTCGAGTCAGCCATCTTGATTAGGCTATAATAGACCACTTTGTTCAAGGACTGAAATAGCAGGAAAACGTGTTTGCAGCCGTCAAATAGATTCCAAAATTTTCTTTGGGGGGGGGGGGAGTCCATGCAAGGTAAGCTCTGCTTCTTCGCCTCTCGAGGGAGGCCAACGCCGCTGTCTGTAAACCCGAAATTTTTTCGAGCATTTCGGGTTCTGCCTCCCTAACTGTCATCGAGCCCGTACGCCTATGCCGGCCATCGCACTCCGAAGTGGGGGCAGCCCGCCCCCCCCCCCCCCTTCTGAAAATTTTGGTTCCGTCCCTGCTGTCGTTTTATAAATACTAAACTTCAAAACAAATACATTTATTATGTATTATGCTTTTCTATTTAACACCAGCTCTCGTTCTGCAAGTGCTAGGGTTGGACTTATTTCTCCAGTATGTCCGAATGATCTAGAAATAAATCGAATGAGTAACATAAATAGATAAACAGTGGAGCTGTAGTCTTCGGGTCAGTATCGTAAGATACAAAGAATACAAGCTTGTGGTTCGTTGTTCACCAGAAATGGAATTGAAAGACGCTTTTATGGGGAATACCCGGGAGTGGGCTTTTCACAAGCCTTATTGCTGATATCTGGGAAGCGTCATAAAGAGAATCCGTTTTATTCTATGTGACTTGAAATCGTTAATGTTAAAACAGGTATAACTAGGTCAAACTGAGATGTATGTGTGTATGGGGGGGGGGTATCTACTTTCAAACGTTGACTATGTAAAACAATCATACATCATTCCACTTACTTAAACATATAACAGATGCATCTTCTGTGTGACTACATCTATAGCCATTACCATATGTACACTGTTCATATATAGACGATTCTTGACCCGTGCAAACAACATTTGTAAGATGTATCGTACCAGTTCCTTCACCAAAGTAAGCATCTTTCTTAGCTATGGCTCCACTCCTAAGTAAGAAAATTGTGTCATGTAAACATTTACCATTTATATCCTACTTTCCTCATTTTGTAGTTATTGTATGTGGTTTATTTATGAAAATGAAATACCAAACATTTTGCATAATATGATAAAGTTTAAAGCTACATTATGTAATATTTCGACCGTTGGCCGTTCTTGCTATAATAGTTCAAACATGATTATATTGAAAATTTCCGTCAAATTACTGTATCCTGAGAGCAAATAGGGGTGTTTGAATTTTGATAAAGAAATTTTAATTTTCAAGTCCCATTACGATGATAATAAACTAGATTGTTATTTTGAACCAGTAAAAAAGAGACCTGCAATGGGCACATTTGTCTTTTGTGTAATTTTGTTCATCTCATTTAGTTCATAAAATAATAAAAATGTTTTATTCTGTATAATTTTCAGAGAATTTGTGATTAATCTTTAAAAAAAAGCTTGTATTTTGAACAGCATAAAGTTTCCAAACTGAGAATAGAAATGAAATGGGATTTAATAGAGACTAATAGAGACTAGCATACGCAATATAGTGTACTATGAGGGAAAATTTGCCCGGAAAGCGGCCTATCCTTATATCGAATTCCAACTGCCAGGGAGTCTTTTACGTGCACACCAATGTGTACACAGGACCTCGGGTTTTTCTTCCCACTCGAACGACTATCCTGCACCACTGACAAGGCGGAACCACGCCGGAAAATCCCGACGTACCTTCTTAACCAATGCAGGGATCGAACACGAATCCACAAAGAATTTTGTTGTGATAATTTTGAAACGGCTCAATATTTTGGCGGTTGCAGGCGATTCGAGTAGGCTTTTTAAAAATTTAATTTTACTCTGTACTATTAGCCAAAATTAAAACTGAATGTTGATGGCGAAGTGGTGACAGAAACAATACCGATTCTTGAGATGCATGCAGATGCAGGTCAATCTGATTAAAACACAGATCCTATTTCGTTTCGTTTTAATAGTTCAAAATTTCGTCTTACTTGTCTTTACTACGGGGGTGGAATGGCCGAATGGTTAGCACGTGCGTGTTGTATCATAAGGCCTGTCATTGAGTCAACTGGCGTGGTTTCGAATCCCCGGTTGTACGCGACAAGGATTAGGGTCGCCTGTCTAACCTCGTGGGTTTTCTCCGGGTCCTCAGGTTTCCTCCCACTGTTAAAAACGCCTACGCGCAAGCGAATTATTGAAATAAAATTAAACCATATCTTAGTCCCGAAATGACCTAGTTTGTGTCGAGTGGACATTAAACCCCATTTCTCTCTCTCGCTGCCTTTACTACACTAGGATTTGGAAGAGTTGTTATCATTGACGTGTTCTGGATGGTGTGGGGGATTAGCCAATGAAACGGTCTGTTACGGCAAGTTCTTGGCCTTTTTTATGCACGGAACTGTGGGTAAACCACAAGAAACGTCAACGCTGATTGATTAATCAATGTCTAGGGTCGTTTACACCTGACATAAACTCCACTATAACGGGTCAGATCTTCATGTACTGTAGGCCATCGAAAGTATAAAATAAACGAAATGAAACGAAATGTAGATCTGTATCTTAATCGGACTGGGTGCAGGTGTAAAAGAAACAAAGTAATCTCGGAGGAGATTGTAACACTCGAGCAAAAAGTTTCTTTTGGAACCTTATTTTAAAGGGTCATAAAATATTGCTTTTCACCTGTAAAAGTTACAAGAATGGGGCCTTGTGATTTTCAAAAGTACAACATAAGATAAAAAATTAAGATTCCCAGAAATATTTCTGTCAATACAAGTGGTTCATTCAGTGTCAAAGACTCTTTGTCAAATGATTATCTGCAGTAATTGTACAAACAGATACTGTAAGTTGACGTAGTTCATTTCACTTCCGAATGTCGAAGCAACGAGGCCATTTCTTCACATTTTCCTTTTTATTTGCACACTATAACCACATTCACGATGGATATGATATCTGGAGTGGAAACTTTAAACTTGAGGTCAAGGAAATTAATTGAATTAGGTCCAGACTATCGGATTAAATACAAATTGTTTGGACCGACTGGGCTAATAAAGAGGGGCTTACGCCATACACTGTGCTATGGGGGATAATTTAACTGGACAGTGGCGCTACGACCTACCCGAATTCCAACTGTCACGGGTCATTTGCATACACAGATATTTGTACACGGGACCTCGGCTTTCCATTCCATCCGAACGACCAGACAATATCTGAAGCTATCACGGCCCTCTGTCCTGCACCACTCGGCAAATCTCGGCAGATTCCGGTACCCTACATCTAACCTCGGCTGTATGATAGTAAGTGATATGTACCTAGCCCTATACAATTGCAATGCGACACCGGTTTACTTATTAGGAAAACTTGCAGCTTTTAGAAAGAAGTTCTCATAATTCCGTCGTTCGAAGAATGTGTGAATTTTCAGTGCAAACTTGTCATTGTCTAAAGAAAATCGGATAAACTTGAGAGAAAAACAGCTTCCGACTTAAAAATCTTTGTATGATAAAACATTCTTCAAAGACGTCTTCATGGGCAACGCCGTTGGTAATCCGGTAACTTAAAAGTAGTTGCAATGGTGGACGTCGTCACACAGCCGAGGCTAGATGTAGGATACAGGAATCTACTGAGGTTTGCCGAGTGGTCCTGCACCATTGGTGAGTAAGTCTGTGTCTTACTCCAAATTTAAACTGACAGGGAATAGTAATATAGTACATTGTAAAAAAAAGACCTCCGTATTATTAGAGCGTTAGAGCGTGTGCATGAAAATTATTAGGTACATTGAACAAATCATGGAAGATCAAACTGATAGAAAATAAATTTCATTAAAAAGGAAAGAAATACCTTACCTCTTAAACCCAAGTTCCCAGCATACTACTGATGCCTCCTCTGGCCCCCATCCATCATCACAAATTGTCCCCCATACACCATTTTTGTAAAATTCAACTCTGCCTTCATTAGGTGTAGCACCTCTGGCTAGACGAACTGAAGCTGTGGATGAATATTGCAGAATGTTGTTTTTTTTATAGTTATTCAAATGTGCATTATATGTTATCATTCTATCTTTTGTTATTAATCAGCCCGTTCTTTAGTGCAATATAAGCCAAACCAAATAAAGATAGGTACCTATGTAGATAATATACATACGATCCGTATGTGGTTTACTGTTTATGGGTACACGATTACCTTTCATTGAAGATCATGTACAACTTCAACTTAATTGATTATCTTGCTTACTTTTGGCCACCTAGCATGTTTCTTACCCATCCACTCCGACTCCACCACACTCATGCCCCTTTAGTTATTGTCTATTATAGAAATGAAATGAAATGAAATGGGGTTTAACGTCCTACTGTTCTGCTGCTATACTGGGCTAATGAAGACGGGCATACGCCATACAGTGTGCTATGAGGGCAATTTTGCCCGGGCAGCGGCACTATCGCCTACTCTTATATCGAATTCCAACTGCCAGGGGATCTTTTACGTGCATTTGCATCACTGACAAGGGGGAAGCACGCCGGAAAATCTGGATGAACTTTCTTGGCCAATGCAGGGATCGAACACCCGACCTCCAGACTAGCGAGCCAGCATCTTACCTACTTAGCCACGTAATCCCTGTCTATTTTAGATCACGGCACGTATTGGCTTGGCATTAATAGTATTAAGTATAAATGATATCTGCTTATTGATAGTGTCACTTTTTGAAATTACCTAGAAGAGATTTTTCTTGTATAGTTTTAGATTTAAATGACCTCCAATCAAGCGTTTTAGATTTAATTGACCTCCAGCCAAAGGTTTTAAGTTGTAATTTGATTTTATTGTTATTGTCGTTACATAACCTACATATTTGTCCACAGAATTATATCTGGTGTTAAATCAATTACTATTTTGCTAATTTTAATCCTTTATTTATGGGGGTGGGGGTGGATGGCTGAATGGTTAGCGTGCGCGCGCTGTATCATAAAGTCTGTCATTGAGTCGACTGGCGTGGTTTCGAATCCCCGGTTGTACGTGACAAGGAGTAGGGTCGCCTGTCCAACCTCGTGGGTTTTTCTCCGGGTCCTCCGGTTTCCTCCCACTGCTAAAGACCCCTACGCGCAAGCGATTGATTGAAATAAAATAAAAACCATATGTTAGTCCCGAAATTACCTAGTTTGTGTCGAGTGGACGTTAAACCCCATCTCTCTCTCTCTCCTTTATTTATGATGGTAATTTTATAGATACTGAAAGTCGACTATACCTTTATTCTCAACATGTTTGATAACCTGAAATCTTTCGCAAAGGTGAAAACATTTTTTTTTACGTTACTTACGATGACATCTAACAGAAACATCACCATTGTGTCTACAATTAGATTGACCCCATTCATCATGTTGACATGTGGATAAAGTAGTATGTGAAGGCGTGTAAGGGGTATAAAATGGACCGTAATTATTTCGACAGTAGACATTATCAAGCCAGATAGGATCAGACCCTTCCCCAAAATAAGCTCCACCATATGCTTCAGCTCTAGTTCTGAAAGTTAGAAAACAAATAGACGCGCACATTAATACCGACTTTTACAAAGTTTTTGGTTGAAATGATATACATGTAATGTTTTAACATGTTTAGATTATCTTCATTGTGACTTTGCTACATTAAATTCAAACGTACATTTAATCAATTACTGCCATTTCAGCCACTTGGGATAATTAATTAACAAAATTAAAAGCCTAACAACGACAAGCCCTATGATCGATATCCAACAACACAAATTCGTAATGAAAGTGGTTCCCCCCTGCTGCCCTATTGACTGAAATTACGTTTGCTTAAAAAGGAATTTTAAAACAGACATTGTTCAACAGTCAAATTAATTTGCGCAGCAACCTTTTTGGAATTTAATTATTATTATCACTATTATAATTCGCTCCTTAGTCACTTTTTGTGTGGTATTTGGCTAAATAACAGTATATATGTTCTATATTACGTGGTATATCCAATCTTGTTGCAAACAATGTTTGCTTCACGTTGACCCCATCGTTTATCACAGACAGTTCCCCATCGATTATTTACAAATAGTTCAACTCTTCCTTCACGTGGATCGGATCCACCAACAAGTCGATAACCAATATCTGTAACAACAAAAAATAACCAATTTATTGCGTATTCGGAAAGGTTTTGTTCTTATTATAATGTTTTGTTTGTGGAACTTGTACCAAAAACTGTACCTGGTGCAAACATTCCGCAATCGTAGGATTTCATGATCTTCTGCAATACCGATTTACTGCAATAAATTGGGTTAGAGTGTCCATATCTCTTAATTTTTTAGACTGGCGATTTTTGGAAATGTGATAGTTTGCAGCATTTTGTCAACATGCTTGACCGAAGGGTTATAGATTACATGATTATGTTATTCAAGTTATGAAACCGTTCTCAACGTAATATTTGAGTTTTGTTTTAGCCTAACATAATAGTTTGAGTTTTATTTTAGCCTAACATAAATATTTTGAGGGTTTTTTTATTATTGATACCGGGTTGTAGTGCTTAGTCTATGTGGCTTAGTGTCTCTTGTATTCCAAAACTTAGCATGATGAAATTCGTAGTTTGCATTTAGACCCTCTATATCTCTTAATCTATATAAATTTTCGTTTATCATAGTAACAAAAATAAATGTATTATCTCCCATACAAGTGACAATTCTATGGAATACAACTACTGCTTTTTACTAGAGGCTTCTCTAGTCATTATCAAGCTATGATAAAAAATGAAAATATGACAGGACAATATATACATGTACACAACAACAGCATTAACTAATCATTGTTGTGTACATGTATATATAGTCCTGTCATATTTTCATTTTTTATCATAGCTTGATAATGACTAGAGAAGCCTAGTCGAAACGTCGCTCAGTAAAAAGCAGTAGTTGTATTCCATAGAATTGTGACCTGTGTACTCTAGTTCAATTACTAAATGCCATTGAAACAGTTTATTATCTCCCAGTTGGTTTTCGTTGATTTATATTAAAACCAAAATAAAATGGTGCGTAACCAAATTAGTCTTTAGCTGAAAGTGCACGGAAAGACAACTCTCCTAGGGAATTCGATCGGTGCCTTCAAATCGGCTTATTGAAAATATATCTGACGGCTTTTGGAAACTTCCGAAAAGTTCGATCTTGAAGTAAAACTTTCTATTTTGTTAAGAATTGAGAATGGCACAAGTTTTCTACTTTAATAAGTATTCGATGTTACTGTGCTCGATACTGCACAATTCCCATGGAGTCGACCTTGTTTACTTCCGGTTCCCGTTTGAATTTTTGTCCAGTTCTTAAAACTATGACTTAATCGTTCACTGACCTTTGTATATCTAGCCACAAACAGTTCGGACTGATTCAGAGATAGTTGAAAAGTACAAGGGGGTTGAATAGAGTTGGAGAAAATATAATTCATACAAATTGTTAGACTGACGAACAGCAGATTTACAAATACTTTTTATCCGTATTAGAATATGCCCAAGTTGAAACGGTAGAAAGCAAGTGGTAATAATAGTGCTTTAAAACCTTACTTTGGCAAATAACAGAAACGTCATTGCTATGACTACAAGAAGAAAAGCCGAAACCACCAATGCGGCAGTCAGCTAAAGAATCTTCTGATCCACTACAATCAACATCATCTATCCATACGGGCATATTAGCCGATCCTTGTCCAAAATGAGCGCCCTTTCTTACTGTAGCCAAATCACTGAAAAATATTTAAAAAATAAAAATTCATACTAAAGGACTTCTGTCACTAAGTTCGATTCAGTGGCGTCTTCTTTGATTAAACGTTAACCTTTACAAGATTACATAGAACTCGATAAAGTATGATAATATATTATATGATATCATTTAAATTTTGGATATGATATGTAAAATATACATATCTATAGCACATTTTTCCTTGTAATTTAAAAATCGGCCCTTTAAAGACGTGTCATATGGAACGTAATTAAACTATTTGGTTGGCCTGGAAAACGTATCTGTTTCTTAAAGACCACATAAGATGGCCAAGAAAATTTTTCGGTACGTGTAGCCAATGGTTACTATATCCACTTTACGGCAAGCTAACGCCAATCTGATTAAAATTAATTCGGCTATTAACGTTTGAGTATCCGACACGCCAAAACGCTTTTCAATTTTTCAATTACGACCTTAATCCGGTTGATTGGTTGGTGACGTCACATAGTATATACATTATCTATACACAATATATCACTATCTGTACAGTATATCTCTGTCTATACAAATCACGGTCCAATTAACACGTGACTGGCCTAATCATAATCACCGAATTATCGTCTTGCATTGTTATAGATTAGACATTTTGTGATTGGAGTATTTTAGAGTGAATTTAAAATGCTTTATCATGCCGTAGATCAATTTAAGCGTCCTTTGTTTAAAAAGGACAACCCAAGCAATTAGCGCCTTTACCGGTAATTTGGATAATACTTGATCTCTATAAGCGCAGAAATACAAATGGTGCCAGTCATTTGTCGTTATATTCATTATTGGCTATATATAATTATAATAACCATTTCGATACACAAAGAACAACTTATATCATAACTCCATTTGAAATTCACAGCGAATATTTAATTTTTCAATGACTATGCATAATAGATCGCCCTCATTTCTCAGCCAATCAACGCTGGGAATCGTATTACCGTGTACACTGCCATGCATACTACGGCCGTAGTAACTGAGGTTAAATTTTGGAGCGACAATTGTATGGGATTCATGGACATGAACATCAAATACACGTGATCATCGTGACTGTAGTTTCATGGTGCCTTTTTTTATAAAGAAGTTAAACGAGTTAGACAATAGCCTAATCTTATCACAAACGTATATCTATCGAATAATTTATATACAGATTCCGTATCAAGTCCATTAAATGTTGTCTAAACGCCAATCAACAAATAAACGAGGCTACTTTATACAAAAACATCGGTGAACAAAGCTAATTGATTATTGGGTAAAATAAAATTATAAACCACTGATGAGTAATGTACGATTGATCTGGACGGCTAATAAAAACCTAATCAGCATTCTTAATCCAACATCTAACTGTAAATTAATTTATAACGCCATGTGTGTGCGAAGCTAATCTACATCGAGATGTAAATAAATTTATGGTCCCATGTCTGTAACTTTAGTCGGATTGATTAATGACAGATATTAACGATTCTACAATATACATTTGCCATATTATTATTACTACACAAAGATAGTTAGATGACCGTTCTCAATCTCTTAATTCTAACGTATTATTTTGAGATATTTTTTCGTATTTCATTTTTACGGTCTATTTCAGAGTAATGAAGTCAAATCCACATGCTACAGAAAAACGAGATACGAATCGTCATTAACAAATCACGTTTCAGTCATGTTTGACTTTTATGATACATTTTGCATGACCAAATCTTTTACTTCTGTACTCTTTTAGAACCACAATACTCTTCTGACGGAAATATATTTCGAATCGTTTGGACTGCACACGACGGTAGAGTGGCTCTTATCAAAAAGTCACTTTAAAACACAGTTTTAAAATCGCTCTCGTGAGAAGAGGGGCTGGGACATTATAAAACAAATTCTAAATAGGATCTTAAATTAAAATAAATTACAAAAGAAATTATTCCGCAGTCAATTGTTTTATTTAATTAGGGGATTAAGGAGTCAGTCAAGCGTTAATGAATACACACGCCATCTGTATATAGGTAATTAAGGAATAAACATTCCGAATATGCATTCGGTCACTGTGACGTCACTGGCGTCTGAGGGGATTAAGAGTGTTTTCGATAATTTGCAAAGTTGTTTTTACGGGAGGTTTATTTTTGCGACTTTGAGTAAAGATAGTTGAAGTCATTTCAATCAGATTGGTGTGAACTTGCCGTAAAGTGGATATAGTAACCATTGGCTACACGTACCTCAGGGTTTCCAGATCCATCTTATGTGCACTTTAAAGTATATTATCTTTATGACCATGAAAAAAAATTATTGATTTAACACACGAGTATTCCCTCAGCGTTATCAAGTTAATAGAATTAATAACTTCGAGGTAATAATCTAGGTCTATGGAGGGCAAAAGTTTGAAACTTAAGTTCTAACACAAAAAATACTTGTTTTTTTATTTAATTTGTGTTACTCGCCCATAATGTCCCAGAATGTATCAAATCAAATCTATTTTTCACAATTTTCCGAGGCCTTCGTGCTACACTCGATCCTACGGGATTTTTTTTAAATATTCAGCCCTCCTATCTTCCTCACTCAGGCTCTCCACAATATTAATCCGGTGCTGTTCGAAACATCGCCTAAATATATTAGTTTCTGCTTTTCATAAATATTGGGGGGGGGGGGGGGGGGTCGGCGTATTCTTGCTGCAGGGGGGGGGGAGTAAATTCCATGAGGAGAGCAGAAAATGGGGCATTTGTGTTGTAAAAAGTTCGAATCAAAAGTTCTGAACATTGATGGACATATCCCTAGGCATGAAAAATTATTCTGATTTCCAGTCCAGTCAACTGCCCCCCTCCACCCCATATCGGTATGATATGTTTCACGCCTCCGCAAGTAGAAACCAAGTCGAATTCATTCTGTCCGGATATGAATGAGGGTACCAAAATCGGTGGAAAACATAACTGACCAGGCCAGTATACCTAAGGTATATATATATATACCGTGTAAACCGCCGTGCCCGTATGCCATATACCGAATACCGTATGTCATATAACCCAATGTGATAGCAGCCTTACTATTATTTTGCTATATAATTTGTGTGTAGTCTAGTCATGATTCATTCATATTGAGAGAAATGGACATAAATCAAACTTAACGCTGGAAAAAATATGTATTGTATTTACGGAGCGAATCCAAGTCCTCGACAAACTGCTGCTGCTTCTTCTGGTCCCCAACCATTATCACAAACTGTTCCCCACATACCATTATAATAAACTTCAACTCTTCCTTCGTGTGGTCCTGATCCATCAGTAAGTCTTACATCAACTGGTAACATAAAATAGATCAACAACAAATTAGTAGTTGACGGTTTGTCCAGATAAATACAATCACGTTACCCATGACATGTGGTACAAACTATTGAAAAGAGAGAACTTGTTTAAGGATTATGTTAATCAAGTGGTTATATTTCCTAAGCAACTGTCACGTTTAGATATCGATTTTGCGCAACTGTTTTAATTGGTGTAATGCGGAAGTCAGCTTAACGACTAATCAAAAGAGAAACCCCTGCTTTCATGCGAGGTTGGATGGCCGAGTGGTTTGCGCGTGCGCGCTGTATCATAAGGTCTGTCATTGAGTCAACTGGCGTGATTTCGATTCCCCGATTGTAGGTGACAAGGAATAGGGTGGCCTGTCCAACCTCATGGGTTTTCTCCGGGTTCCCCGGTTCTCCCACTGCTAAAGACCGCTACGCACAAGCGAATTATTGAAATAAAATTGAACCATGTGTTATTCCCAAAATGACAGTTTGTGTGAACATTAAGCTCTCTCGAGTCTTAAAGCAATGGACATTGTCATCGTAGGAACCGGACCAAGAGGAAGTTAACTGATAGTACTTCAGGAATATGAAGTTTGATTAGACAGTTGCTTCTGTTAACTGATATTTAGTTACAATCATTGTCACGTTAACAATTTAATTTGAGATTACTATAAACACCCAGAGCAAATATACAATGATACTAAGGTGGTTTTCCTGGAACGTTTTGGAAGCGAAAAAACTATGCAAAGCTGCAAAGCTCTATTAGGTCCAACCAATATCACAATGAAAACATGCCGACACAATTTATGTTGTGACAAATCCGCTTAACAGCCAAGGGGGGGGGGGGTAATAATATTAAATTGAACGTACCTTTACATATCACTGAAGCATCTTTCTGATGATTACAGCTGCCTATACCCCAGCACGAATGTTTACAATCTCTAAGATGCGACTCTTGCCTTTTACAATATAGCTCATTTAACAGTATAGGTTCTGTTCCTGGTCCAAAAGCTGCACCACCTATGGCTTTTGAGTAGTATCGACCATGATAATGAAGATAACTAGAATATATATATATATTACCCCTGATCAAGTTTGATGTACTCTAGTGCTAGAAATGCTAACTGGGAGAGAGAGAGAGAGAGAGAGAGAGAGAGAGAGATGGGGTTTAACGTTCACTAGACACAAACTAGGTCATTTTGGGACTAACATATGGTTTAATTTTATTTTAATAATTTGCTTCCGCGTAGAGGTCTTTAGCAGTGGGAGGCGAAATATTTAGAGAATATTAAGTTAAAAATTGAGTCTGAAAGTTCACATACTAGTTTTTATTCTTCCGTTCTTTATAATATAGATCAGTGACGTAATAAAATACTTTATGTAATAAATCCTGCAGAGCAATCAAAGACAAACACTCCATAAAACGGATTGTAAGATCGTGTAAATAGTAAGTGGGTCTTCTATACAGAGAAAAGAGTATCACCCGCGTGTTTAAACGCTTAACAGAAATGTATTACGTAAATATGCTAAAAGTGAAATAAACATTTTGATATTCATTTAAGTGACCTGCGACGCAAACAAATCAAAAAACCCTTGCGCCATGAAAATTATGTTTGGGAAATCGGCTGTTGTTTTGCTTTGAGGAAAGTTTTACAATCGATGTTTTCACTGTCTGTAACAATGGGCATAATAGTTGATGTGAACTTTCCGGACAAACACACCACGCAAGATGGACCCCTTAACAATTAGGCGTATAAAAATAATTAGTGGTTGTCAGTCTTAAGCGTGTACTATACCTTGAAAAGCCAAGCTCTTGACAAACAACTCCTGATTCTGTTATATCCCATTGATTATCGCAAACTGTTCCCCAAGTATTACCAATACGAACTTCAACTCTTCCTTCGTGTGGTCCAACACCTCCAACAAGTCGAATAACCGCTGAAGAAAGCAAATAGATACATCATAGTACCTGAATTTCCTAAAACATGTGTTTGAATATATAAATAGGTAAGCATTGTATTGTTCAAACCCATGGTACTCGTATGTCAATATAAATTAGGTACAATGCGAATAATAACGTACAGATCACAATGATTGCAACATACAACATTTACCAAATAAAGGACAATATTGGTGCCAGTCATTATCACATATGTTATAGAACTGGTTAAACACGTTCCAAATATTATTTTATCACAGAGATCATTGCAACGATAGATGAGTAATCAATGTTTCAACAATAGGAAGTGACGAACGTAAAAGGAAAACACGAGTTATCCCTCTATTTAACTGACTGAAGTAACGAGCGATAACACATACACTGGCAAATTTCTGCTCACTAAAAATTCCTTCGAAGACCAAAAGTTGTTATATGGGACTGTAAGAGTGTATCTGACAATTCAAAAAAGTAATTGAATGTCATTAGATAAGAGAACACGAGGAAAATAGAAACAGTCCGTACATTCACGGTTGTTTATTCATTCTATACTTATAAAAACATGGTAATGCACGGACTTTTTCTATTTTTCTTTCATGTTCTCTTATCTAGTGACAGTCAATTTTGTTTATGAATTGTCACAGTCCCATATAACAACTTTTGGTCTTCAAAGGAATTATTAGTGAGCAGAAATTCTCCCATGTATCTGTTATCACCCTTCACGCCAGTCAGTTAAATAGAGGGATAACTCGTGTTTTCCTTTTGCGTTCGTCACTTCCTATTGTTGAAACATTGATTACTCATCTATCGTAGCAATGATCTCTGTGATAAAATAATATTTGGAACGTGTTTAAGTGTCGCAGAGGGCATTGATTTCGCAACCCGGCATAAGAACTAGAGTAAAAATTTGGGGGTGATGTTTTTGTATTAGAAATAAATTAAAGGCTGTGATATATTATCAAAACCGATGTAGTTGAAGTGTATGTATTGTGTTTCATCCATCGCGATTACATTAGGTCAATTAATTATGCGTTGATATTTGAATTTAGGCAAATGATATACTTATTAAAATTTATCCCGTATAATAATGAAGCAGATAAGTGTAACACTCGTTCAAATCTGAATACAAGCTTGGAAATCTACCCACGGGAGTAATTGAGAGGATTTGTATACAGCTACATTTTCAAGTGGTCGTATTATGTCGTTGGCTTATGTCGGTCCGTCCGGACGTCCGTTCACATTTTGTTTGTAGGCAGTCTACAGGTAACAATCTTTATCCGATTTTGAACTAAAACACATATTCTGCGATTGTGGTGCGCATCTGACCGCAACTTCTTGCGTTATGGCACCTGCCTGATACGCATAATTATGACATATGTAGCATTATGTGGGCCCTAAATAGGCCACAATTGTTGGTCCGATCAGATGAAACTTAACATGAATGTTAAGGATCAAAATATATGGAAGGAATTCCATTTTGGTCTGCATCAGACCACAACTTCTTGCCTTTTACACAAAATGTGAATTGTACAACATTTGTGGTCCTTCTAGACCCCAGAATGTTTGGTGGATTTAGTAGAAACAACTTAAAATGTATGTTAAAGATCAATTTGGTGTGATTTTATCGCAAAAAAAGATATTTAATTATTAGAAAATCGACGATCTTGTAAATGGCCGCCATTTTGGAATTTCGAATGGCTAATGGCCTACTTGTATCCACAATTTAAAGATTTCGCTGATATTATGCAGTTTTGATCTGCTGCACTATAAGAAAAGAAACCACCAACATTCAGATTAAATATTCATGAATGTATACCACTTTTTTCGAACGTAGGCGAACGATTTATGATAATGCAGTTATTTTACAGAAGTCCTGCATGTAAAGGTAAAGATGACGTTTATATTCGAACTTGGGCGAGTGATCGCGGTAATTAAGTTAAGCACGAATTTGTATTTGTTTTAAAAATTTTGCGATAAAATGGACACCCAATCAGATTGCAATAAATCAATTAAAATGCACAAAGGCACGGTGTTATGCTGACTCAAAAATATATTCAAAAAAGTGTACAATTGTAACGATCCTGATTCTAAGAATTTTTTCTACTTCTGGCGCTAAAAAGGTATACATCATTCAAATAACATTCGTTATAATGATTCTACCACATGCTATTGCGAGGCACAGCCGTGTCCACTCAACCATCTATCCCCTGGAATATTAATAGTATAAGGCAATGGGAAAGACATTAGGAAAACATTTTCCCAGCAGAATCTAGAGTCGAATATTATACTTACGTTTACAGACAACAGAAATGTGATTTTCGTCGGTGCAAGTTGTTTGGTTACTATGGCGACATCTTTCTATAGACTTTTCTGTACCAGTGCATTCTACATTATCTAACACTGATAGAGGAGTTCCTTTTCCAAAATAGGAATTATGAAGAGATACAGCTCCATCGCTTTGAGAAATAAAATGCGAAGTATTACAGAAACATTTCGAGAAACGGCACCTTGTGTTCTAGGTGAATACGCGGAATAGTATAGTTAGTATAACTATTCAGTTCTTTAAGTTTGTAAAATTTGGATTCGATCTGAGCTCTAAAGGGGACCAAGGTCGGACTTTGGTATAGCGCTCGGTAAGGCTGGACATCAGCATTCAAAGGCGTTTTACAAAACACATATTAAAGAAGATAGCGAACATGTAGTACACAATATGAGACAATGGCAATTAAGTCACTTTTATTAGAGATTTATATATTCCGGGAATGTTCGCTTATAAAGATGGGGTTTTAATTATTGTTTAAATTTCCATAGTTGAGGACCAATTCTTTTTTTAGTAAAGAGGATATACAGGGAGTCGGTAGTAGATAAACGTGTTGAACATCTATTTAAGTTTTTAAATAGTCACGGGCCAGATTGTTTGGGCACTTGTAGACCATGACAAGGAGTTTGAATGCAGTTGAGCTTGAGTATTTAGATACACCAAGTATCATTATTGCCGCCAGGTCTCTCGGACTCTTTGAAGAGGAAGTAAGGTACAGTCTGTGAGAGTAACAGAGAGACAGTTACATTAGTCAATATGCGAGAACACTAGAGCATTTACTAGTTTGAGGCAGGTTGGCTTGTTTAGAAACCGTCTCAATTTCCCGAGATTAAATAATGCTAGGGCTTAGAGTGAAATATGAGATTTAAGGGTTACATTTTGATCAAAAGTAACCCTTAGCACGTTGACACTATTCGTAAGGGTCACCATGATATTACCGATTTTCACTTCGGATGCGAGGCAATTCCGCAGTAGGCTAGTGCTTCCGAACACAATAAATTCCAATCTGTCATCATTCATCGATGTCATCATTTTATCGAAAAATGGAATGTCCCACAATATAAAGTGTCAAAATTTACTTACCTATCAAATCCAAGATCACTACAAAGAACCTTTGCTTCCTCATTCCCCCATCCATTATCACAGATAGTTCCCCATCTATAGTGGCTGTGGCTATAAGTATAATAATCAAAGCGAACTTCAACCCTGCCTTCGTATGGCGCTGATCCCCCAACAAGTCGATAATACGCTGGAAACAAATATTGATTAGTTGAGTAATATGCAATATTTCAGTAGTTAAATAATGTATATATTTATTGTAGGTGTCGATGGCAATTAGGGGTGTGCCGAATTGACAGAACTGAAATCGTATGACAAGCAACTGAGTTCTATTACAGTTCTGTTAGTCCACCATTGACGATTCGTGAGTCCAAAGTCCGAACTATATGACTATATGACACAAACAATTTATAAATGGGGCCTTGGTTTTTAGTAGCAACCGACGACGCACACGATTTTCTTGTCAGCTCCACAGGGACCACCACTGAAAAGTGTCGAGTCCAGGGCCCTGTTTCTTGAAATCTTAACTAAAGATAAAATCCAAATTTGAGTAGATACTTCAATTTTGATTGGTTAAGCACTAAAAGCAATCTAATATTATCCAATCAAATGATTCAAATCTGACCAAGTTTTCAAAAAGGCGATAATTTTTTTAAGGTTTAGATATTCATTGCACCCTTTATGATCTAAATTACTTTTTGTGTAGAATGTGTACTTTTTCCTAAAAAGCTTAAAAAAGGGGTAATAATGTGAACATGGAAATATTAGTTTTTATCCTATATTGATAGTTGTATTAAAAAAAGTAAAAAGTAATAATCCACATATATATATATATTTAGCCAGGTGTGTCGCTATTTTTGGCAAAAACGGGTTGAGAACCACTGATCTAGAGAGTTGATTATGGGCTTGGCATGTTTGGCATGTTAATAGATGTCTAAATAATAGTTTATATAACATTTGAAGTCCAACTAGAGACCGAAAATAGGCAGATTTAGTTATTACATCATAATGCATCATTAAGGTTTTCTAATGAATAAATCCAGCCTACTTATAGCTAAATATTGCCAGGGCAGTGGCGTATATCGAATTCTAACTGTCACGGGTTAGTTTACGGCTATAACGAATGCACGATGGAAAGATGCACGAACCGTTTAGAGATGAAATTATTTTTTTCTCGACTCAGTAAATACGATTAGGGAGCTCTCGATCCTCATGATGCCAATACCATTTGGTTTGTTTTTTTGTCCCTCATTTGGATCTCATAGTGGTCGGTGCATTTTTCTTCTTTAGTTATTGGAATGTATAAAATTATAAACTTACGTTTACAGAGAAGGGAAACATCTCTGCTGTGATCACAGGCAACTGAGGGAGAACAGGAATAATCACACTCATGTAGGTAATTTTCTGTTCCCGAACACTTCACATCGCTGAACAAAACTGGTCCTGTTCCTTGTCCAAAGTAGGCCCCCGTTTTAATAATCGCACCGTCTCTAAATCAATGTAAATCGATACAACAATTGAATCAATACAGGTTTCACATTCAAGTCTCATATTTGCGTATTAATAAATTAGACATCACGACAGGTGTGCTACCTGCCCTATGCCGATACGAAGCTCATGGAGATGGCAGGGGAAACTAATATATGCTGCTGTCTTTGAACGGATGCGGATAACTCATTAATACAATTGAATATACATATACATTACATCTATAAACATGGCTGAACAAAACTGGTCCCGTTCCTTGCCCAAATTAAACCATGCCAAAATATGTATTTGTTTCTTTTTTTCTATGATGCGTTTAATTTAGACATAATATATGAAATAATGAGTATACACAGGAGCGCCGGAACCCGGGTACCAGGGTATACAAATGGTACCCTGCCCTTTTTTGGAGTTTTTACATGTATATTCATGCCCTAATGATGAAAGTTTTCAACCTTTTTACTAGTCTATTAATTTTTAAATGATAGATATTTATATAATTGCTTTCTGGTCGGTCGCGAACCGGCTCTCGCACTCTCATTATCAGCTATCAGTGCATGCCTTGGCCAGATGTCGGTATTTTAAAGGGTTTTATGTTAGAATTTGGAATTGACAAATTTCAAAATTTTCTAAAGGCCCTCGCGGCGTTCCGGCGGCCCTGCGTATACATTGCATCTACAAATAGTGATATTTACGCTCTGAATCCCATACGTCGGCAAATTACAGAAGCTTCCTGGCTACCCCAACCATTATCACAAACTGTTCCCCAGGTATTATTGTAGTGCACTTCAACTCTTCCTTCATATGGTCCTGACCCACCAACAAGACGTGGGTAACTGTATTGGCTGTATACTAAAAATAGAGTTTACGTTATGTTTAACTTATAATCAGTTTTAATTATATTTTTATGATCAGTGGTGATAAACCCCAAAGAACAGTTGCAGTTTCGGATGGGAGTTTGCTCTAAAATTGCTTACATTCTATTGCCCCCCTCATATTTCGCGCCTTTGACCAATCGGCTGAATAATCCAAAAGAATTATGGTACCTACTGCTAGACATGGCAAGGTTTGGGGGCGTTTGGAAAAGTGGACAATGAAATATTTATGAAACATTTTCTTTTTATTTCGCTGGAACAATAATAGTTTATCCTACCATCTTGTAAGATGTGGGGAAAATATATTCTACAAAATATATTAATCTGTGGTGTTTTTCACCACAAGAGTTCCACAAGATATTGAACTTAGAAAAAATATCAATTTTTTCAAAAATTTCTTCTCAGACCTCCCTCTGTGCCTGTGTGGTACCACATTCCACAAAATTTTCGAATAATTTTGATAGTGTTTTGAGTCTGTGGTGTTTTTCGCCACAAGAGTTCCACAAGATTTCTTCTCAGACCTCCCCATGTGCCTGTGTGGTACCACATTCCACAAAATTTTCGAATAATTTTGATACAGTGTTTTGGGTCTGTGGTGTTTTTTACCACAAGAGTTCCACAAGATTTTTGACTTAGAAAAAAAATCAATTTTTTCAAAAATTTCTTCTCATACCTCCCTATGTGCCTGTGTGCGTACCACATTCCACAAAATTTTCGACTTAGAATAATTTTGATACAGTGTTTGTGGTCTGTGGTGTTTTTCACAACAAGAGTTCGACAAGATTTTGGACTTAGAAAAAAAAATTTTTTTTCAAAAATATTTTAATCTGTGGAAACTTTTGTGGAATGTGCTACCACACAGGCACATAGGGAGGTATGAGAAGAAATTTTTGAAGCAATTGTTATTTTTCGAAGTCCAATATCTTGTGGAACTCTTGTGGTGAAAAGCACCACAGACTCAAAACACTCTATCAAAATTATTCTAAGTCGAAAATTTTGTGGAATGTGGCACCACACAGGCACAGAGGGAGGTATGAGAAGAAATTTTTGAAAAAATTGATATTTTTTCTAAGTTCAATATCTTGTGGAACTCTTGTGGTAAAAAACACCACAGACCCAAAACACTGTATCAAAATTATTCGAAAATTTTGTGGAATGTGGTACCACACAGGCACATGGGGAGGTCTGAGAAGAAATCTTGTGGAACTCTTGTGGCGAAAAACACCACAGACTCAAAACACTATCAAAATTATTCTAAGTCGAAAATTTTGTGGAATGTGGTACCACACAGGCATATAGGGAGGTATGAGCTAAAATTTTTGGAAAAAATTGATTTTTTTCTAAGTCCAAAATCTTGTAGAACTCTTGTGGTGAAAAACACCACAGACCCAAAACACTCTATGAATATTATTCTAAGTCGAAAGTCTTGTGGAATGTATTTATTTTCAGAAACCCAGTATCTTGTGGAACTCTTGTGGTGAAAAGTTCCACACAAATGCCCCCAAACCTTGCCAGAGATGCCCACTGCGATCCTGCTATAATGTTTTCAGCAGAGTATGCCCCAAACCACCGTCACCCCCCTTACCCCGCTATTGTCAACTGGTTATTTTGGAAGGTTGAATTCCCGTCGACGGTAACTGCAATATTTCCCACGATTACAGAAAATTAAAAACGTAGAGTAAACAAAAAATCGTTAAAGAAACAGAAAGCGAAAAGTCAGTGTACAATTTAAGGATACATTGGAGAACTATTTGATGACAGGTCGAAATGCATATTGCTAAAGTTACAATTTCATATTTTCTAAGAAAGTCAAAGCATAATTATTTCTATGTCTTTTGCTGAATAGGTTGTCAACTCACAATTATACGATTATAGGTTATCTTTCTCACACTTAAAAATCTTAACACCGGAAATAATAACCCAATTACCTCCCAAATACCTCCCTTGTTTTCCTATTCCCCACCCAGGAACAGCTGTCCTCAAACGTTTGAATTTAAGGTTGAAAATGATATTTTTGCCAATTTCTCAACTGGCAATAGTGAATTATAGGATTAATAGGATTATTCTTTAACAAGGTAGGACTGTGTCTAGATACCATCTATTTTAGGTCTTTATTGTAATACATTTTAAAAATATAACTTAAAAATATGAAATTGTAACTTTAAATAAGCCGATTACACTTTACAGAACTTTAAAATATATATAATACTATACATATTCAAACTGCATCAGATATTTCTGTCATAAAATTTTTTCTTTAAAATTAGGTGAGCTTTGCGAAAACTTAATCTTAAACCACCCCAACATCATCACATACTACTCAATACTACAACATAATGATGCAAAATAAGCATATTACTGTTGATTGTTTTTCTAAAATAGTAGTTATATCGCGGGATATGTACTTGAAATGTGATTACCAATGCGATACCCAACTCTTCTATTTGCCTCCCTATATCACTCAAAACAATTAACAACCTAATATCACCAAATAACAGCGGGACAGTATATTAATGACCACACCAAATAATCGAGATGGGAAGGCCTAGTTGTCTATGTCACGGTTGGACCCCTAGCTGGCCGGTTGTGGTGTGCGTACGTGTCTTGGAAATAGGGGCGCATTCTCAACCTCGTGGGTTTACTCCGGATACTCCGGTTTCTTCCCACAGAAAAGACCCCTGCGCGTGCGCTAAGATAATCAAAATGAAAATAAGGCAACTTGTCTGCGATATCACCTTCAGTGGAAGCGGATGTTAAAAACATCAAGAGCAACATGGGGTTTAACGTTCTACTGTTCTACTCCAACTGGGCTAATGAAGACGGGCATACGCCATACATTGTGCTATGAGGGACATTTTGCCCGGGTAGTGGTACTATGGTCTACTCTTATGTCGAATTCCAACAGCCAAGCGATCTTTTACGTACACGGCAATGTATACACGGTACCTCGGTTTTTCGCCCCATCCGAACGACTAGAAAACTGTCCTTGTCAACCCCACTCCCACCCCCGTCATGCACCACTGACAAGGAGGAAACACGTCGGAAAAGAGAAGTAGATTTAAGATTGCTACTCAGGTTTCCTCGGAGTCGAACTGATAAATGCTGAAAATATATTTACCCTCTGTCGGTATTACCACACAGCTTGTAAAGATCACCAATACGACTGCGTAAACCATGGCCATTGCCTCGCTCCTCCAATCAATCCACTCCCCTCAACGAACAGAAAGACCCTGGATCTGCCCGACTATTTAGCCTTTCAGCTCTTTTATAAGAGAAGGGGTGGTCTTAAGCTGATATAAAAATTCAGCACCCTTTTGTTGAGAAAGCATTTGATTGGTTGGAAAACATACGATCAGTGCTGACGAATAAAACTTTTGATAAATAAAAATTAGGTAGCTTTCTGCGAAAAAGATGATGATATTGCAAAACCCTAGCCCTTTTTATCTGTACTTCTGTGTCATTTTTACATCGCCATTGGTGACGCTCATAAATATAGGAAAATAGCTGTCAACGCGACATGACTGTAACAATTGTCATCTTACCGTAGTAAAGCGATTGACTGAATGTCTTGAGCAGCTTTTAGGTTGATTTTCGGCGCCTTATAAATAATACTAAACAGCAAAAAAAAAGAAAACGTCGATCAGTACGATTTCAAAATCCGAGAGGCACTTTAATCAAATCATTCTAGAAAACGACTTACTAAATGGATCAAATCAATTTTTGGTGAACAGAACGTTGACACATTAGTGATTAATTCATCACAATTCCAAGACATTACGAGAAGGTATAGAGTCTGTACACAGTCTATACATCAGTATCTGGTTTGTCCACCGAAGTGTCAATAACAGCAGCGCAGTGTCTGTACATGGAGTGGACCAGACGGTTGATGAACGCCATTGGCACCTGGAACCACACTCTCAAAAAAGCCTGGCGCAATCCATCGGCCGTGTTTGGTCTCGGTACGACGTTAAGTTCAATCGGGTCCGGACTAAGGGGTGGCCAGTGCATAACGTTGACACCGTTCTGCCGTTGAAAGCCCCGAGTAACTCTGGCGATGTGGGCACGGGCGTTGTCATGCTGGAAAACGTTGTTTAGATGACGTGCGAAATATGGTATGACGTGGGTTCTGAGAGCTTGATCTTTGTAGCGCACCGCTGTGATTCCGCCTCCTCTCCCTGGACCAAAATTTCGGAACACCAAAGGACCCACTCTCTGGTTCTGGCCGATTCTACCCCAAACCATTATGCTTGGACTTCTGCATGAGTCTCGTTCCATGCCACATTGGTCAGAATAACGCTCGCCACGTCGACGCCATATTCTGGTCCTGCAATCTGCACTACCGACGCAATACAGATTCTCATCTGTGAACAGAACAGTTCTCCATTGCATGTGTCGCCAGTTCTGTTGTTGTTGGGCAAACTGTAGACGTTCACGTCGATGGCCTGGGGTGAGGATCGGTCCACGGTAGGGTCTACGGCAATGGATGTTCTCTCTGGTGAGACGTTTCACTGTATCGGTAATGATGGGTCTTCCGTGTGTTCCCATTGTCTGACGTGATGTCTCAGATGCCGGTGTGAAGGGACTCTGCACGTGCTGTCGCACAACATGGCGGTCCTGTCGCCTTATAGCAACCCTTCATCTACCAGTTCGGGACCGATCATCCGTTGTGTTTGTGGCCCGAAAGCGTTGCTGAAGCCTGCAGATGGTCCGAACATTGACCTGGAAGTGATTGGCAACGGCTTGGGCATTGTGACCAGCGCCGAGTCTTCCAAGTGCTTGGTTCCTCTGAGCTGTTGTGAGTCGTGGCATGCTGCTGGCGTTGTAGTGTGAATGATTCAACCAGTTATGGGGTGCATTTTATAGAGCTGGTCCCGGTGAACAGCATGTGCAGCATGAGTTACACGAAAATCATGGAGAACACATTACCATCTCAGCTTCCGGTTTTGAGAATATTTCCTGGATTCAATTCTGCGTTTGTGAAGGAGCCTTATTGCTCAGGTAAAGTTTGCGATGTGGTTACAAATATACAATAAAAACATTTGGCAGGTTTTATGCAATGAATCTATTCAGAGTAACATACCAACCTGACGTTTCTTTTGCTTCTTATATAGTAGATTATTATTATTATTATCAATGTATTATTTCCTAGAGACGTTATCTGTTGCATTGGATTATATTTTATTTCAGATGAAGATGTTTTTATTGGTAAATTAGATTAAATATTGCGTACGCATATATTTATTCGGTTAATTAAATTATGATTATTAGTATTTAATTAGAGTTTGTATGTCTACTTAATTAGCTACGCTCGTAAATCGTGATCTTTCGCCTGGTATATCAGGCATGGCAACCACATTTGCGCATTTCGGAAAGGGGTGAAGCTAAAAAAAGAGTATTGCATTAATTAACTGAGTATATGTCAGTGAAAATATCAATTACAGATGTATGACCAATGTAAGAGCAACACAAAACAACTTCATCCCTCTGGTTGTATCTAAAGGAGGTTGGTGAGTCTCCTGAGAGTCTTATAATGTGGTGAAGTTTATTTGTGTCTGCAAAATCCTTAAAAGGGATACAAAATTCGTAGATGAAAAGATCTAAAGCAGATTCTGCAGTAAAGTCTTCTTGACCAAGCCCCTTCATATATCCATATGACTGGGAGCCAGTAAAGGACAATTTTTGTTCATTATCGGACTGTTACTTGAACGATCATGGGGAAGGCGATGGGCGGGGGGGTGTGAATGAACGAATGGTTAGCATGTGCGTGTATTATAAGGTCTGTCAATGAGTCAACTGGCGGTTTTTGATTTCCAGGTTGTACGTGACAAGGAGTAGGGTTGTCTGTCCAACCTTGTGGGTTTTCTCCGGATCTTTTCCCACTGCTAAAGCCCCAACGCGCAAGCGAATTATTGAAATAAAATTGAACCATGTGTTAGTCCCGAAATGAAATAGTTTGTGTCGAGTGAACGTTAAAGCTCTCTCTCTCTCTCTCTCTTATTGATTTTTGGGCCGAAGGACGTTACTTCTACAAAATAGTAAAAACTAGAACCATTTGAAAGTTGATATTTTCTTTGATTTTATTGCCCGATCCCAGTGTGCTATTTAGAAGTTCCTTATTATGTTTTGTTTGGTAGTATGTGGTTATTGTTTCCAATTTGCGGGTAGTATACATCATAAACAACAAACATTAGCTGCACAAATCTGTTTATTTGTCTTCATTAGCTTGGATCTTTAAACCCATTTTTAGTGTATGTGCAATACTGGCTATTAGGCGTCACTGTGACTTGGTTTGTAGGTGCTGACTCACTAACCAGGAGGTCCGGCGTTCTTCAAATTGATGACCATAGTTACAGGTTGGATTGTCAGAAATATGACGTAAAAATGTATGTCCGATTTGGCTGCTGCAAGAGAGACGCAGTTTACAATAGGTGATTGGTTTACGCGGGACCCAACCGAAAAAGAGGCTGGTGGTGTTGACCGAGAATGCACCCGGGATTTCCTAGCGTGGGATACGTTTGGCAGTAGTGCAAGGAATAATTCCAAGGAACAATGCCTGGCAAGGAGCAATGACAAATCGTTGGTATGGGACAAAATCTGAGCTCCCGCATGCACATAAAAGAATTCTTGGTAGTTGATTTTTTTTATAACACACTGCATAGTTTTTATCCTGGTTGGTGCAGCTAAAATGCGTTTCGTACTGGTCATCATAAATAGTCGGTCTGTTGCATAATAACAATTTTATCTAGGGCATGTCATATATATATGTCAACGAACTGAAACACGTGTATGCGCTATATAATGAGAATACATAAATTAACCTCAAAAAATGACTCCCAGAAAAGAAGCGGCCATTGAGTATTGGATAACACCAAACAGTCCGCCAGTCAAAATTGTAAAGACCGAATTGATAAGTCGAAAATTTAAATTTGAATAGTGAAGGTTGAATGAATGGTTTTTCCCAGATTAATTTGAGATTAATGATAAACACACACGTCCGCCGTTGCGCAATTCATTTATGGGTGCTAGTATCACATTGTATTCATTGGCGTGTCAAGTGTCAATGGAATGAAACGGGGATAATGTCCTACTTTTCTGTACGAACTGGGATAATGTATGGTGTTCTATTTCAGCCAATTCCCGCGTCGCCTAAAAAAAAGGCTTTTTTCGCTGTTAAGCTATAAAGGAAAAAAAACGACGTAGACTTTTTAACACGACGTCGCCCTTGAAAAAGCGACGCGTCACTGTTTAAAACTATATTGTATTTTAGGATTGACTTCCCGTGGGGAGACTTTATTATATTAAATTTTTAAATGTAAATACAATAATTCTTAACCAGCGGCTGTCAGACAGGATACACCCACATTTTGCAAGAGATGGACAGAGAAAAAACTAAACATAAAGCGGTTTTTCGTAATATCAAGTAAGTTATGATCCGATATGCACGAATACCGACAGGAACCAAGATCTTTGGGTTATAAAGATATATTCCAAGTTTCATCAAAATCGGATCAACGTTGTGACTTCTACTTCTAGAACCTTGATATAACATATATTTACACTATTTGTGTATGAGGGGCGGCCATTTTGTCACGCAGCTTTTTCATACAATCAGGGGTCATAATTCAGGAAGTTACGATTTTGAAAAAAATATACAAATTAAACGTAACAAATACTTTTAAAAATTACGAACTTAAAGTAAAAAAAGTACTGAAAATTAACCTGCATAGGGGTTAAAAGGTTTGTGGGATAAAAAATATTCTATCTAGAGCATGTTATTAAGATGTCATTAACAGCAACGCCCATTTCCGTTCCATGATAACCAGATAATATAAATTATCCTAATAAAACACCAATCACAAAACGACGATTTAAAAAGACCGACAAATTGAAGACCATTATAACATATGAATATATTTCAATCGTATTTGCGTGTGGCTTTGCTGTGCTGTGACAATACTTGCATTGCACACTTGCACAAAACTGTGTTGCCTTTTAAACATTTAACAAACAGGAAGGTGGTGGTAGGTTATTATCATTCAAGATTAAGTTGATATTAATGATCAAAGCCCACGTGTGTGAATCACTTCAAGGACGGCCCAAGGAGATTCAATCGTGGGAATTACGATCACATTTCGTTTCTAAATGTATACATAACTATTGTAAGATATGTGAGTTTCAGAAATAAAGGAGAATATCATTGGGTATTACAGAAAGAATAGCATACCCTGCCACAAAGTATTGTTTGTACTTTG